ATGTCTTAGCCTCTCAGCATCTTTGGGATCAGATGCATGGGAAGCCAAAGCAATTAAAGCACTCTGCATCAACAAATTAAAAAATATTAACATCAATACAAATATCCAGAAAAAATGCATATAGAATGTAACAAGATAGATCTGCAAAAGTTCACCTTCTTAGGAAAACTCAGAAGGTCAGCATATCTGGCAAGTGCAGTCCCCACAGTACAGGGGGACGGGAAAGGAGGTGGCAAAGAACCCCCAAAAAGTGGAGTGCCATCCTCTTGGTCAGCATGAATTGAGAATAAGGTATCTGGTGAATAACCTAACAGATTTTCTACCTCCTCTACAGTCTCTGTGCAGTTTTCTGCATATACACCAACATGATCTCCAGTCTCATATCTGTTAAGAAAATGGGGGTCATCAGCAGTCTAAACACCAGTAAGAAAACCGTGCCTGCAATTTTGTCAACCAACTACTAAATTTGGAAAGTAACAAATTCAGATACTTACGTAAGACCAGTCCCTGAAATATCAAACTCTAAATGAATGCAGGACCGGTAAGAAGCCGGCGTGTGAAGCTCCCGCCGCACAGCCACATTTGCTCTGCAAGGAAAGCATGATCAGAATTTGTTCAGACCACACCCAGTGTCCCAGTGCAGTCAAATTAAAGAAATAATCTCATACCTGCAAGGATGCTGAATGTCATATACAGCATGACCATTACTGAGACTAAAGGATTTGTTGATATGCATGGCTTCCTCTGGCTTGACCAATACAACTCTATATTCAGGAATAGCAGCTGTGTAGGGAGTTGGTGCTGCCGATTTATCATCTTCAACACGGAGCAATTTATCCAATTCTGGCCATAGAAGTTCCTTCCTTTAGTTGAACAACCAAAGCATTAGCTTTTGTTTTATGTCTCAAAGTCTAAAGTTGATATCAATGTTTAAAAAGTGTGCACAAATAGAATCAGTGTCAAAATGATGCCTGAGTTCAAAGTTGAGACAAAGACTAAGCTAATTACGGTACGTACCATGCATTGAAGTCATCCTCAATGCATTGATCATCATCTCCAAGACCAAGAGGAACAATGCGTTTTCCACCTAAAAGAGATGTGGAGAAAAGTTAACCACCACCAAATGATACAGAACACGACAGACAGGAAAATCATGTGACCAGAATGTTGCAAAGATCAACAATATCTCACTGAATTATTACATGGTAAACCTGTTGTTCAGATCTATCGGAGACAAGTCCGATTTGATTTAGTTGCACACTTACACTACATTAATACTAGCTCCCCTTCTGAGTCTAAAACACTCTACAGAATATCGGTAGACAGAAAAGGATGAAGACAAAAAAGGCACAGCATTAAAGTCTTAAAGCATATGATCCTAGTAGCAAACCACCCTGATAAAATTATGATGCTTTCCAGAGCACGTTACTAACTACCTACATAAAAAGATTAGATAAGTTGTATCCCTTATCCTGTACTCTTCTCATACAGTATAATTTCTGACAATGTTTAGTGGCATACAATTCTTAGGTGAGCATGAACAGTACAGGCAAAGTTATGCCTTTGTAATATAGATGAAAAAAATAGTGCATTGTAGTTATTCGAACGATGGTTACCTTGTTCAGCGAGGAGTTGGTCAACCACCTTTCCAACCTTCAGTTTAAAAAGACAATGTAAGTATACAAATTGGGCTCTATATAAAAGCACAATATCAATGTAGAAGCACCAGCAAACCTTGTTAAAATGCTCGTACTGCCTATTTCCGAGGCCAAAGACCCCAAACCGAAGATTACTCAACCATTCACCTCTCTCATTCCCCTGCACTCCAGCCAAACAAACAGGCCGTCAACAGAAAATACAACGCTCACCCATGAAAGGGCCATATGAACTGTGGATTTGAGAGCAAACCTCTCCAAACCATTTATAGAACCTCGCCGCATTGTCAGTTGGTTCCCCATCCCCATACCTTCAACGAGAACAAGAATGCAACTCAGATATTCATTGGAATCAAAATTCAACCATTCTAGTTTCTCCTGAATTAATCAATATCCCGTCAGAAGTATAGTAAAAAGTGGAGATGGCACCTACGTTGCCACGAAGAACAAGGCGATGATCTCCTTCTTAAGCTTCTGCTCATACTCCTCATCATCCGCAGCATACTCATCCTGAACCCCAGAACGAAACAGGCATGAATCAATCAATACATAGAATGCAAAAGCACATGAAATTCTGAAGCAGCGTTAGTGGCAAATCGTGGCGGCTTACCAGATCGAGCACCTTGAAGACGGCCTTGTCGTACCTCGACTTGGCCTCCTCCGCAAGCGCCTGCGAATCCGCAACCAATTAAGACCCAGGGTTTTGCTGCACGAGAGGTGACAGACAGAGAGCGAGAAAATCTATCCAACCTTGGCGAAGCCCTCGGCGGTGCCGGTCTGCGTGCCGAAGAAGACGGCGACCCTCTGCCTGCCGTCGTCGGGGTCAGGCTCGGCCTCCTGCTTCCTCTTCGCGGGGGCGGGGGCCCGCGGCTGCGGCTCCTGCGCCCTCACGGCGGGCGCGGAGATGGAGGAGCGGCGGACGAGCAGCGCGACGCCGCAGCCGACGAGGACGGCGAGGGAGGTGGTGAGCAGGACGATGAGGTGGCGGTTCTCGGCGAGCGAGGGCGGCCACCCCTCCTCCTCCGGTCGTCCCCGCCCCGTGAGCAGCGCCGCCACCAGGTCCAGCGCCGACGGCCTCAGCGCCCCGCCGCCGCCGCCGCCGCCGGAGTCCATAGCGCGCGATGGGATCGAGGCGGAGGCGGAGGCGGAGGCGGCGGCGCGCGCGTGCGGGGTGGTGGCCCTAGTACGTGGGAGAATTTGGGCGAAATATTTTTTGGGTTTTTGTGGAGTTGAGCGAAACGGACGGTGATGTGCGATCGATCGGTACGTGGTGTGGTCTGTGGTGGCGCGGTGTGAGTGTGTGACACGTCCCGTCGGGTTGAGGAGAGCGATGCACGTTTCGGCGCGGCCGCGACGTTTGGTGGTGCGAGTGCGAGTGCGAGTGCGAGTGGCTCGTGCGCCGCATGGTTTCACTGTTTTACTATAGAACGCCCTCGAAGCCTCTCGCCATAACCATCGCCGTCAACAACAACGTACAACAACCACAACCCTGCGAACGCCTTCCAGTTGCTCGTCACCATCGTCTTGATTCTCGAGCCGTCGAGCGTGTTCGATCCTACCAAATTTTGATGGGGGGAAAAAACTGAACATGTTCTTACCAATGCTATTCTGTTAAATTTTGCTAATTCTAAAAGTTTTCGCTCTTCAGAACTATACAAAATTTTGATAAGATTTCGAATCAAATATATTCAACACTACTTAAATTTGATAATATCAAAATGTACCTAAATTTAATATTATCAAATATTGGTTTGGTTGAAAGCTCCTATAAAGTAAACAAGACCACTATCTCTAGATTCTTGTTGGCGCTGACAGTAAGTACACTAAAGCATTGGTAGGCCGCGTTGCTCGGTGAGACCAATATGATTATCACAGTCACCTCTTGTTCGGGCAAAATTCCCTCCACATGGAGTCTTTGCTTTCAGCCCATTGCAACCCAAAAGTCTAACAAATATGAGCCATTGATTTATGCCTTGATCAATGATGGAAATTGTCTCATCTCTTTATGATGGAAAGAAAAACCCTACCTTCCATTGGGGGAGAGATAGTAGCGGCGATTGGGGTGAAGAAGAAACTAGCAAAACACAAGAGAGGGAAAGGAGAGGGGAGAAGATGTGCAGTTTGTTCAGCTTGGGAGCTCTTACCCTATCTTCATCAAGTTAGCGATTAGAGGCTCGAACGTGGTTGGATTGGCACTAAACTTGGTAAGTTTGTTTCTCACTTTGAGCACTTCAATCTGGTCGATTTGTATAAGGATGGGTTGAATATAGCACCGGATTTGAGTGGTGGTTTGTCAGCTCGAGTTACTGCAGTTACAGCTTGCGCAACAATTGGTAGAATGTCAGTTTGAGGGGTCAAACAGTGTCCGGTTGGACTGTTTTTTTGGATAGCTTGGAAGGGACTCGTATACCATCATTTCTGCCAAGTTTCGTGTAATTTGCATCTGTGGTTTGGGAGAACTCACCTGAGAACCGAAGATGGCCTCTTGTTAGCTTTGATGGTTAATGTTGATGATGCCAAGTGTGTAACTTAATGTTATAGCTGCTGTTATAATATGCCTCTAGATTTTTCAGAGAAGACTCCATGTATATCCTAATTGATTATAGTTGAAGCTTGGAGTGGACCGTTGGTTCCGTGGTTTTTTTATCCTCACACCGAGGAGGTTTTTCCACATAAATCATTGTGTCTTTATGTGCATGTGTTTATTATTGTTCCGCTGCTGATCTGCTAGTCGAAACCATCCTCAAAGTTTATGGCAAGATAAGGGTTTGATTGTGTGAAATATGTTTATCAGTTGGTGAATTGTAATTTGCACATTGAAGAGATGTGGTTGAGCTCCAACACCTCACACATTAACACAACCCATTCGTTGTTATTTGTAGCCTCTCAGTTAAGTAAAAGCAGATATCTTAATTTCACATCTTGACTTTATGTTTTTATTTTTACGTTATTTGCAACCTCTCGGTTAATTAAAAGCAAAGGCCTTAATTCAACATTTTAAATTAGTTTTTAACTTTATTGTTTTTTCTTTATTATTTGACTCCACCACAATACGAGAATTCACTATTGCCAAAAGGTTGGGTTTTTTTTTTCAAGTTCTTGTGGTAACCATAGATGTGTCGTGGTTATATTCATGCCACCCAGCATGAATAATGAACTGTTCCAAAATTACTTTAAATGCATGTTGAATAAAGCATGCTCGCAATGCACCTGTGTTGCACCAACCTGGCCGTACTCTTTTTTTTTTTTTTAGAAAAACATGGCTGTACTCAGCCGAACAAACTTGTGCTGTCTGAGTATATTTTCGCTTGGTTTTCCTTTGAAAACTCTGAAATAATAAACTGCTAAAAAAATCGAATTGCATGTGTATGTCCATGCTGAATAATACTCCTACATGGTAGTGATTCCAATCAAATCAAAGAGATTTAATTAAGAGTCGTGTTTAACTAGAGGAGGAGACCTCGGCCAGGTCGGTCTCGAACGCTTTGACGAGGTTCCCAAAGTATTGCCGCGTCACCCTGGTGAGCCCGGCGAGCTTCTCCCTGTACGCCCTGTACTTGTCGAAGTCGACGGCGGCCTTGTCGTCGGCGCCGGCGGCGAAGAGCTCCCTCCTCTCCCTCTCGGCGCAGCCGTGCAGCCGCTCCAGCGACGCGTTGGCGTCCTCCTGCAGGTACTCGAACAGCTGCCGCTTGGTGAAGTCGCGGTCCGGGTCGAGGTAGTAGCCGTAGGCGTGCGCCCAGCCGAGCACCCGCCGCCCCTCGCCGACCTGCTCGTACGCCTCCGTCACGAAGCCCATCTCCGTCGCCGGCACGCCCGCCGCCGAGGCCATCGCCTCCAGCTCCGACCGCTCCAGGCTCTCCATGTCGCGGAGCGCCACGCGCAGCGACTTGAGGTTGGCGTCCCACCGCTCGTAGTGGTAGAGGTACCTGTCCAGGGACGCCTTGGCCTGCCGCCGCCGCTCGTCGTCGGCGTTGGCGCCGGCCAGCGCCACCACCGTGCCGTTGGGCTGGTACCGGGAGCACGCCGCGTGGCCGTGCCATGGCTTGAGGCAGATCCAGCAGAACTCGTGGAGGCACGGCGGCCGGCATGTCATGTGCATGCACCCGAGGTTCTTCTCGATCGGCAGCCGGCACTTGGGGCAGTGCTTTGTGTGGGCGAGCAGCCACGTCGCCGTCTCCGACTCCGAGCTGTTCTTCTCCACCCACTTCGCCACCGTCTTGCACGACACCGGCCGGTGCGCCTCCTCGCCGCACCGCCAGCACAGCCCGTGCCCGCACGAGCAGAACACCTCGCTGCTCTCCTCGCCGTCGCCGCCGCCCACGAACTCCACGGCGCGGCTGCACCCGGGCCCCGGGCACCACCTCATCCCGGCGCTCTCCTCCACGTACGACCGGAGCGCGAACCAGCCGAACCGCTCCCTGTCCTCGCCGTCGGCCACCGCGTCGACCAGCTCGCGCACGACGGCCGCCGGGCACGACGGATCCGGGCACCGGAGCGACAGGCACCGCGCGCCGTCGCCCACCGCCGCGCGGACGTACCCGCGCCAGCAGGAGACGCAGTAGAAGTGGGAGCACCCCGCCGACCTCATCCCGCCGGTGTCGAACACGTCGAAGCAGATGGCGCAGGTGAGCCGCCGCCGGTTGACCCGCGCGGGCACCTCGCCGCCGCCGCCGTCCGCCGGCAGGAGGCCGGCGGCGTCGCGTATGCGGCGCTCGTCCAGGAACCACTCCTCCTGGAGCAGGACGGCCCTCCACCTGTACAGCCGGAGGAGGACGGCGGCGGCGCCCGGCGAGAGCGAGAGCACCTCGCACACCTTGGCAATGTCCTCCTCCTGCCGCGCGCGTACGTCGTCCTCGGTTAGAACAACGTACGTCTTCTCCATCGCCGGCGCCTCCGTTTCCTCGACCACCTGCCCACCATAGTCGTCGCCATCGTCATCCATGTAATCGCCGTCGTCGCCATAATCCTCGTCGGAGTCGCCGAAGTAGTCGTCGTCGACGTCGCTGTAGCCGGACTCCATGCTAGTAGCTGTCCGAGATGGCGACGGCGAGGACGGATTAATTATCGATCAGCCAGGGTTTAATTAACCCTAACCCTCACAATTTGGCCTCGCGCGCGAGCCTTTATCGGATCGAGATCGCCTCGTGATAATAAACTGTTTCGTTTTTAAAGATTGCTTGCTAAAATAAATCGGAATCGCCTTTTTTAAATAAATAAATTCGGAATCGGCTTCTTAGCTAAATTGTACTTCCGGATATTGCACGCGTGTTTCTGTGCGGCTGTTATGGGTGGCCGAAGATTGGAAAGGCCTAGGCCCTTAGCCCGGCCCATTACTGAGAATTCGATTACGGCCCCTTTGTTCTCATGTTATTAGGACGTCTTTTATACAAGTACATACAAAACATAACGAGCCTAGACACCTCCCGGTAAAAAAAAAAGCAATATTTTAAATTTTCTTTATAATCTATGACGTGTGATTTTTTTTCATATAATAATTTAAGTGATTATGAAAGCACCTTCAAAATCCAAATCATCACATGCTGTTTTTATGTTTTCAAATTAACTTTTTAATATTATTAATAATCAACATTTTAAAAGTTTAATCAAATCGCATACAAAATGTCAAATACTAATAACTGAAGGGAGCATTGGTGATACACGCTTATAATTGGTAGCCAATGAGCCTTTATTCCAATTTAAATAGAGTAATACCTAGAGAATTTCGTGCTATAATCTTTATAATTTTGAAAACATTATTTCACTTGATCATTTTATTGGCAGAAGTTAGGGTTTATCCAATCACTTCTTTTTTTTAATTCCTTCTTTTTCATTTATGGGACTTGTTGGCTGTGTGCACATGGCCACTTGGGTATAAGGAGCATATTGATCCATGTATTTTTGAAAGAAATAAACCATAGTATTTGTTAAGTGTACCTTATAAAATATGAATTCCTAATTCGTAAAAAATGTTGGCCCAACCAATGGATCAAGGTACAAATTTTCCTGATGTAATTGAGTGATCATCAAGTATTCTAGTACTACAAAAGTGTTGTCGTTAATTTGCACGTGATCCTACGAGCTGTCGTCTTGATGAAGAGGCTGAAGAGGATCAACAGGATCGTCGGAGCTCTCGGCCGGACCTGTAGCTACGGCGGCTGCGGCGGCGGCGGCAACAGCAGGTCCCACCTCCAACAGGCCGTCCTGGAACGTCTTGACGAGGTTACGGAAGAAGATCTTGCAGACGCCGGTGAGCCCGGAGAGCTTCTGCCGGTAAGCCACGACCATGTCGACCATCTCGCCGGCCTTATCCTCCATCTTCTTCTTCGACTCCTCGCCGTCGTTGTCCTTGAGGATAGCGTTCAACTTGATGGTTCGTTCCACCTCGGCGAGGAGCTCCTCCCTCTCGTGCTCGGCGCAGTCGTGCAGCTTCTCCAGCTGCCGCTCGGCCTCCCCCTGCGCGCACTCCACCATGGTGCGCCGCTCCTCGTCGCCGTCGAGCCCCGTGCCCAGGTGGTAGTACCCGTACGCGTACGTCCACCGGAGCAGCCGCCGGCACTCGGCGATCTGCTGGTACGCCTCCGCCAGGAAGCAGAGCTCCGTCACCGGCATGGCCACCGCGGCGGACAGCTTCTCGGCGCAGGCGTCGAGGCCGGCCATGTCGTCCACCGCGCTCTGCCGCGCCTTCCCGTGCGCCGCCCACCGCTCGTAGAAGTGCATGTACCTGTCCAGCGACGCCATGCCCTGCTCCCGCCGCCGCTTGTCGTCGCTGGCCTCGCCGTTGGCCTTGGCCGCGTCGTAGACGTTGCAGTTGTAGTACTCGCTGCTCCGGTGATCGCTCCACGGGCTGAGGCAGAGCCAGCAGAACTCGTGCAGGCATGGCGGCCGGCACGTCATGTGCATGCACCCCCGGTTCTTCTCGATCGGCAGCCGGCACTTGGGGCAGTGCTTCGTGTTCGCCAGCACCCAGCTCGCCGTCTCGGACTTCATGGCGTTCTTCTCCGACCACGCGTACACCGTCTCGCACGACACCGGCCGGTGCGCCTCCTCGCCGCACCGGAAGCAGAACCCGTGCCCGTGCCTGCACTCCACGTCGTCCTGCTTCTCCTCGCCGCCGCCGCCGCCGACGAACTCGATGGCCAGGGTGCACCCGGGCCCCGGGCACCACTTGATCCTCGTGCCCTCCTCCACGTACGACCGGAGCAAGAACGTCGCGTACCGGGCTCTGTCCGCGTCGCCGGCCACCTCGTCGACGAGCTCACGCACCACGGCGGCGGAGCACGCTGGGTCCGGGCACCGGAACGACAGGCGCCGCGTGGACGTACCCGCGCCAGCAGCCGACGCAGTAGAAGTGGGAGCACCCGGCCGATCTCATCTCGCCGGCGGGGTGCTCGTCGAAGCAGATGGCGCAGACGAGCGGGTGGGCGTTGCGCGACACGGGGGCGCCGCCGAGCGCCACGCCGGTGGCGGCGCCGGCTCGGTCGCCGTCGCAGAACAGCCTGTCCTGGAGCTCGACGAGGCTCCACTTGTAGTGCCGGAGGAGGACGGCGGCGAACCCCGGCGGGATCGCGAAGAGCTCGCCGACGTTGGCCGTGTCCGCGTCCTGCCGCGCGCGGACTTGCTCCTCGGACAGATTCCGGTACCTCCTGTCGATCTTGGTGAGGTTGACGGCGGCGGCCGCCTTCTTTTTCTTGGCCTCGTCGTCGTCGTCGTCATCTACCTCCTCTTCCTCCAGATCCCAACTCTCGCCGTCGTCGTCGACGTTGCTGTCCACCTCGTCGGTGTAATCGTCGCCATCGTCGGTATAGTAGCTTTCGTAGCTCTGAGCGTCGTCCTCGCCGTCGCTCGCCATGCCTGCGCTGCGTGCTAGCAATCTAGGTCGACAACTGATTCTCAGGGTCAAGGTTGAATTTTTGTATGCACAATTTTCCGTCTATTTTTTCCGCTAAAAAAATTCCATCTATTTCCGACCCCGAGTTGGGATCAGTCTCGAACTCAGATCCTGAACGGATTCGCTTCTTAACAACAATTTTAAGTTCTCAATAACTTTAGTCAATTCAAACTGAGTACGGTTTATTTTTCGTTCAACCTCTCTTTGACCGATTTCGTAACCAAGATTGATCCCTGCTTCAAAACACAACACAGTGCTGTAAAAAAAGAAACAAAAGCTACAAATGACTTGACATGCATCACAAAAAAAAAAACAAAAAATCAGACAGCACAGCATACACCATTAACGTCAGAATGTATGATTGGTTGGTTAATGGAAGAAACGTCCACAAACTTTATTAGTACATTATAAATACCTATCACAAAATTTATTATAGATTGTTATTATCTGTCTCTTCTGCTCCCGTGCTAAGAACAGGACAATGCTGATTGAGCTTTACTTTACTAGACATACCAAGAATGCCAATCTCTACCGTCGGAAAACACGATTTGTGTTCCGAACAAAGCCGCACCGGCAGACATCACCGGCGCCGGCGCCGCCACCGCCGCCGCGGCGGCCATTGTGAGACCCCTTGCACTGTCCCAAGCAAGCACTCCACATCATGGCTCTGCCATTACTCCTTCCCTTGCTGCTTGCACCGAAGAGGATCCCTGCGACGTGCATCCCCTGCATCTCCAGCTTCACCCTGCCATCCTTCTTCTCCAGGGATGCCTCCATGACCCCGATCATGGGGTCACCAATGGCGGCGTACCCTTGCTCGGGATCCCTCACCTGAATCAGGACCACAGAGACCATGGAATCCTTCGTCGCCTGGTGCCTCCGGTCGCCGTCGTCGTCGCCGGCAGCCGTGGACGAGGCAGAGTCAGCCGTCGAGGCCATGCGAATCTTTAGGCCTTGTTGGACCAGTCCTTCCATCTTGTCCATTTCCATGAAGAGGAGAGCCTCCAAGAAGTCGTCGCCGGAGCTGAGCCTCGCCGAGCGGCGGATGACTTTGCCGGGATTCTTCCGGCCGGCGATGTCCTTGATCGGCATCATCTTTGACAGTAACTTGCACAGGTTCTCTGCGCTCGTCTCTGTCATCTTGTCAAGAACCTAGAGATCACAATGCCACAGATTGTCGAACGAAAACAATGTGCAGTGCAATGGATGATAGACTTCATTGGCATCCATGGATCTTGACAGCGATCGAGGTGGCTCACCTCCGACGCGGTGGCGGCGTTCTCGGCGACGACGGGCTGCGACACCTGCAGCGCCAGCCGCTCCCAGGGCATGCCCACCACCCGTTTGATCTCGTGCAGGTAGCCACCGCCTTCCAGCCTCACCATTTCCCGCACGCCGCCGTGGCCACCGACGGTGACGCGCTTGTTGGCCGCCGTGGCGCCGATGCCGCTGCAGGCGCTGCTCACCCGATCTCTGGTGGCCATGGCGCCGCCATTGGCGCTCCTGCCGTGCTCGGCGAGCCTACTGCCGAGCCTCCTGATCTCCTCCTCCAGGAACTGCACCCTCCGCCGGTACTGCTCCGCGGATGCTCTAGTGGTCGCCGCCGTCGCGCCATCGACGACGTTGGCGCGCGCAGGCGGCGGCCGCGGCGCGCGGCGGTGGAAGGAGAGGCAGGACGCGAGGGCGGAGCAGCCGGTGGTCGCCACGGGCGGCGCCGGCTGCTTGTTGTGGCCGCCGGGCATGCCAATCTTGCCGATCGATCGGTGTGGCGGCGGTGCGGTCTCCGACCCGCTCGCTCGCCGGCGCCGTGCAATTTGACGCGTTTGTTTATCTTGTATAGGCGCCGCGCCGCGGCTAGCTAGTGAGGTTAGTTGCGATCTATGCGTGGGGAGGCCGGATCGGATCATCGGAGGCGCGATTTTGGAGTTTGAATTCGAACCCCAAACTCCAAAGGTGTTTGTCTTGGCCAACTTCATCTTGGAGCAGCAAATATTGCGTTGCGACGTGACGACGCGGTGCATTGGATCGTGTGTTGTACAGCCGCGGTATTCATTGCATATCAGTTATCACCAGTACAAATCCATTGGATGTATCCAGTATCCGTGCCTGTAAGGGCCTGTTTAGTTAGGCTGTGTTTAGTTCACACCAAAATTAAAAGTTTAGTTAAAAATAAAATGATGTGACGGAAAAGTTGGAATTTTGTGGATAGGAAAGTTTTGATGTGATGGAAAAGTTAAAAGTTTAAAGAAAAATTTGCAACTAAATACAGCCTTGGTGAAATGAAAATTTTTGGGTGTCACATCGGACGTTTGACCGGATGTTGGAAGGGGCTTCCATTGTAGGAGTAATTACTTGGGGCTTACGTGTATACTACCGTGCAGTACCGCACTGCTGCTGATGCCTTGTTGATACAACTGTGGGAACAGTTTCAAAAGTACGAAGAGAACAAAAATCTCTAATATTTTGTATGTCGAAGTTTAGAGGTTGCGATCTTGTAGATTTTCGGTCTCATCATTTGGTTTTTTTCCCTAACAAGTCAAAACGGTTTATTAGGGAAAAAAATAAATTTATAGGTAAAATTATATATATATATATATATATATATATATATATATATATATATATATATATATATATATATATATATATATATATTGTTGGTGACTTAAAAGTTAATGCTAAAAAAGAAATTACGTTGAAAAAAAATCTCAAAATCAATGTCAAAATTAAGTTTGAAAATTTAAAATTTAGCTTTCTATTTGGCTGATTAGGCCATCCAATAGGAGCCTTTCAATAATCGTTTTAGTCTCATATGTTGATTTTATTATTTTAGTTCTTATTGTTGTATGAGTATTTGCTCTCTTTGAGATAATTTTATAATAAATGGTTGTACCTTCTTTGAAGCAAAGGTCCGAACTTTTATTTCATTATCTTATCTTAGGCCCTGTTTAGTTCCTAAAACAAAAATTTTCACGTTGTCGGCTTGTCGCATCGAATGTTTAAACACATGCATTAAATATTAAATGTATGAAAAAACTAATTACATAGATTGCGTGTTAATTGCGAGACGAATCTTTTAAGCTTAATTGTGCCATGATTTGACAATGTGGTGTTATAATAAATATTTGCTAATGACAAAATAATTAAACTTAATAAATTCGTCTCGCAGTTTCCTAGAGGAATCTGTAATTTGTTTTATTATTAGACTACGTTTAATACTTTAAATGTGTGTCCGTATATTCGATGTGACAACTAAACCAAAAATTTTCCACAACAAAAAAAAAGGCCTTAAAATAAGACAAAAAGTACAAATACATTTACTACTAGTAGTACATAGTACACACGATGATAGGAGATGTGACCGTATGAGTGGGGCCGTGTTTAGTTCCCCTCCACCAGCTTCAAACTTTCAACTTTCCATCACATCAAAAACTTTCCTACGTATATAAACTTGCAACTTTTTTTTCAAACTTCTAATTTTCTTCAAACTTCACTCTTTTTCCACCAACTAAATACAGCCTGAGGTGAGCTTCCTAAAATAGGGAAAAAAGAAGATAAAAAGAAAAGGTGTAGGACACATGGGCTTTAGTGTTGCAGGACTTTGGTCCTTGTGGGCCTTGTAATGCTGAGCTCAGGCTCATCCGACACGTGTGCCTCGCGGGCCTTGCAATGCTGAGCTCTGGCCCATCACGGCGAAGACACATGCGCCGGGGAGCGGCGGTGGAGGGGAGGATTGCCCGCCGCGCCGCCCGCCGCGGCCGTCTTCCTCCTCCCTCCATCTCTCCCTCGGACCCTCCCAATGGCGGCTCCTCGGCGCGGAGTGCAGCGAGCAGGCGCAGCAGCTTTTGTGTGTGGGCGACCGCCGTGGGGCTGCACAAGGCCGTCTCCCGCATCCCTCGAGGGCTCCGACGCCATCGATGATCGCCCGCACCACCAACCCCAACTCCGGCGACCGGCCACCGGGCCACCAAGTGGTACTGCCATACTCTCCTCTCCTCTCCCCTCCCGATTGCTGGTCATCGATGATGAGCACCAAGCTCTCCGCCTTTGTGTGTACCTGTACCCTCGATTTTTTTTTTTGTTGGAAGGACTACTCTGGAAATCCCATTGTTGACTGTTGAGGATACTGGCTCTTAGCATATGCTTCTCCAAGAATTGTTCATGTTTGATGCAAACATATCTTGTGTTTCTGTTCATGTAATTACTGGTAACTTGATGCCTTGCTAAAAAAAGAGAACTAATTAACCTGAGATAGTTTTAAGTAAACGTATGGATATGTTTCTGCTCCCAACATCTATGTCCTTATAGGAAGCTTTATTGTTTTCTGGAACAACACTGCTTTAGAATCATTTAGATGCCAATATGCCATAATCAACAGAGATGTTTTGGTTTTGACCACCTAATTCGCATGAAAGATGAAATATCTTAGGGCGGGGAATCTGGGAACAATGATGCTTTTCAGGGATAAATGTTCAAATATTGATGAAAGGCTTGGTTTTCCATTCCACGAGGTGTTGTTTTCTTGTGTCCTACTATTGGACACACGTGTCACTACTTCTTGTTATGTTCTGAAGCCTTTTCAACAATCTGAATTCCTTGAATTTGAGAATAGGAACATCCAAGACAAGTGCCTGACTTCCTATCTTACTTTCAAACATGTTGGCTTCGTACTTTGGCAGATCTGCTCTTACTCCAGAAGCAGCATGAATCCATTTTTTTCAAATAAAAATGTATCTGTTCTTCCAATGCCCATAGCAATTGGTAGCCTAGTAATGGATGAACACCATTCCAGATGAAGGGCTTACAATGTCCATGATACTATTTCATTAACAATAGTTTTGTAGAGCATGCCGTCTCGTTTTTATTTATCTCCTGTAATTTAACCTATAACTTAATTGCCGTCATATATAATATCATTTGCCATATTATTTTACATGCATTTGGCATGAATTCATCCACGCCATGTATAATATGTTCCGTTTTGAACAATCCCCTTCACCGTGTCATGCTGTAGTGTTTATGTGCATTTGGTATGAATTCTTCCACACCATGTATTAACATTCAGTTTTGAACAATCCCCTTCACTGTGTCATACTGTAGAGTTTGGCATAGAGCATTAGAGGCTCAATCATGGTGGAAATGCAGCAGGCGTGGTGGGGGAGCTTGGAAGATGCAATGGGGGTATGGTGGGCTAGTGGCTGGAACAGAACGGTACATACACATCTCAACTTCATCAGCACTTTTTGCTAAATAAAATATGTCGTGAGGTTATCAGCTTTTCTTAAACTTGTTTTCCCTTGATCCGGGGCCTTTTTGCACGGTAGGAATAGAGCCAGGTTCTGCTAACTGGCAGTACCTAATCTAAATGCAAAGGCAGGCAAATTCTTTGCGTATTCCCGGGAAAAGAACTTGTATTGCCGCAGCACAGACAAGAATTAAAGCAAGAAATGGTATTCTTCTAGCTAGAGGCCGGAATACATAAATTCATCAGGGAAAGAAACACGTACAAGAATTGCTAGCAATAGTACATTAGCACTCAAGATACTAATTATCACTAGACATAACAGCTAATTTAGAGAAGAGAGTATAATTAAGAGCCAACTAATTTAGTACTAGGAGGTAATTATGAACGAGGGCTATGAGGAAGCAGGAAGCTGAGGTCCTCGCCTTCGTCGGCGGTGGTTGCGACGGTAGCGGTAGGCTCTCCTTGTACTATCTCTTGGCTAGGGGAATAAGGCCCCGACTTTGGCTCTGGCTCCCGCTCCGGCTCCGGCTCCGGCTCCGGCATCTGGAGCTTGTCGGCCAAGGTCTTGGCGCCCTTGAGCGAGAGAATGAGCCAGACGAAGGAGAGGAACTCGCCACCTTCTCCGAGGCTCTTGGCATGTAGGTATCCCCTACACATGCTGGCGGAGTAGAAGAGCATGCCCACCCACACACGGTACATCACTTGGCACCGTGTTCTGCGGCCCATCTTATCCATCAACTCCTCTGCGAGCCTGCATGCGTCATGGACGAGAGGGTACTTGGGGGGAGGGGGCTCATCCACCCTGATTTCCCTCTCTTGTTCTCTTACCATTTCTATGTCGATCGCAGCATTGACCTCAGCATTGACCTCAGCTTTTGCCTTGTCGATGATCTTCTTTGCCAGGATGTCTCGTCCGAGCTTCTTGAGGCTATGCGGCTGCTGCTGCTGAGACTCAATATCCTTCAAGATGAGCTCAACCTCCTCCATTGCCTGCGTGAAGAGGTGCTGCCTGCTGCCGGTCATGAGCATGTCAGGGCGGAGGTTGAGAAGGTGGGCCATGTAGTCCGATATCGCCTCCGTGCACTCGAGAAATTTCCTGTCAATCTCGTCGATGGTGTTTTCAGCCATCATGCGGCGCATGCAAAGGTCAGTGGCGATGTGCCAGAGGATGACACCCCTATCAAAGGACCCACGCAGGCTGCCCTGTACCTCTAGGCCGCATACCTTGCGCAGGTTCTCATTGAGCACCCAGTTGCGGCGCCCCGGCGCGAAGCTTCGGTAGCTGGTGAAGTCGAGACCCTTGGCATTCGCCTCCACTAGGTCGGAGAAGATCAACCCGGCCAGCATGTGGTACAGGTTCTTGCGTTGGCAAACGAAGAATCCCTGTGTGTAGCCGACATGTGCGGCACACTTGAGCAAGACCCCAGCAGGCTGTGTCCTTTGGAGAGCTGACCGGATGAGGTTATTGTATTGGGGGACTGTCTCGCATAGCGCTGCGACATCCGCCATGGACATGAGCTTGAACAGCAGCTGCCGGATGGGCTCCGCAAGGATGTCCAGCGCGGCGGTGAGGCAGAGGAGCACGTAGGTGATCTTCACGTCGATGGTGTTGTGGTGGCGCTTGCTGCTGGCGGCGAAGAGCACGATGGCGGTGATGTGAAGGAACGGCGCCAACAGTATGTGGTAGGCCAGGTATGCAGGGGTCAACACCACGTTGGCTCTGGTGTAGATGAGCGCAAACGCTCTGCGAAGCCAACGCTTGGAGCCCTTCTCTGCTCTAGGGCTTAGGGTCCCCAGCAAGTCTCCCTCCACCTCCTCCTTGCTGTCATCTTCTCCCATCAAGGATTGGCATTGACGGCGACGACGTTGTTCCTGCTTGAGGTCAGAGTCGGCAGCTAGCAGCGACATGTCGGAGAGTATCAGTAGGACCTTGTCTCTATCTGTCAAGATGTGCTGCTGACTCCTCTTGACAACGTCAGTGCCTACCCCTGGAGGAGGGGTCTCCTTCTCTTTTTTCAGCTGGCAGCAGCGGTCGAGTATGTCTCTCTTGTCCTTTTCCAGCTCGGTGAAGCAGTATCTCCACTTGCTGACCTCCTTCCTGCCTTGTACCATGGACGACACAGCTGCCAGCCGGTTGATGCTGGCTCGTCGGAGAGCCCACGGCTTCTCGGTGAAGCTGAACACCCCAATGACGAAGAGCAGGACGGCTGACACCAGCAGCTTCCTGTCACCGCCATTGGCGGGCCATGACTTGTAGAAGGCGTATATGGCGACCGTGACCTGGGACACCAGAGTCACAGTGTGCCGCCTCCACAGCTCGTTGTCCTCGATGGTGTAGGCAGACATCTCCTGCTGCCCGCCAAGGTGGATGAGGAGGACCGGAGCCCATAGGACCTCCAGGGCGCTGCCATTGACACAATGCTGTTTCGCGGCGGTGGTCGTGTTGGCGTGGCGGTTGAAGAGGGTGGCAAGCGCGTAGATGGCCAGGGCGTCGCTGCTGATGTAGGCCAGCCAGATGAAGGTCCTGAACCAGTGAGGGATGGTGTACTTGCGCATGGGGGCAGCCAGCAGAAGGAACCACTGGATGCCCAGGCTGCACAGCACCAGGATGCGCAGCTGCCACTCGTCCCACCACTGCACAGCGGCTGACACATTCGTCATTCTATCATGCATCTAATATCTGTTTGTTACTATTTTTTTTGTTTGTGCATCGTAGGTTCCCGACAATGGACGGTTAGTTTAGCACACCTATATATCAGAATGACACTTGTTGAACACAGTTTTTCTGTAGCCCAGCTGAAGACTTGCTTTGCTAGTGAAGCTCACTTTAATTATTACTGCTACACATGTGCGTGTGGGAGAGAGCTAAAGTGAGGGATAAGCATTACATGATAAAAGCCGAAAAAGAGAATGAACATAGAGAAAAATATAAATGTACATTACAACTTTTATCGAAAATAAAGGAAAAATATAAGATGTACATTACAACTTTAGACTTTATTTATTTACAGTCATGCGCTGCCCTTCGCGCACAGCTTTGTATGATCTCTGCAATATTCCTAAATCTTCATATGTTAGCTAGTGTGGAGCTATTGATGATGTCTAACTCTTTGCTTTGTTTACGAGGTGGTCCTTACTATCTTTGCATTTGCATATTTGCGTGCATGTTAGCGAAATAAACCATTTGTTCTTCAGCCACCCAAACATCATCTGTCTTATCAAACCTTCAAAATAAGAGGGACTTTTGTTCATCTTGCACCGAAACCTTTTCCCTTGCTTGTTTTCCTCTTCCTTCTTGTCGGTCTGTTTTCCTTTTTCTTTTCTCCTTCTTTCTCATTTCCTTTTTCTTTTCTTGGGCCACACCTCGTTGAGGATAAGATTTTCTTGGGAACAGTTCTGTTGAGTGAGAGCAGTGCAAACACAACTTTGGTTCATGTTCTGCTAGAAGGCTAGTACAGTGTAAACACAATCTTGGTTCATGTTCATAATTGGAGATATTACTGCTGAAGGAGGTGCCCGCAAGGAATTGCAGTCCTGCAGATAAGAGATGCCATTTGCTAGTTGCCTCCTTGGTAAAAGTCTTCACTTGAGTTTATTTATTTGCTTTCCTCTTTTCCTTGGCTGGATTTCCCACAAGTCTCGTTTTCTTATCAGCAAAACCTTTTGTTGACAAAAGGTGGTGTGATTGTTTAAGTGGGGTCCGAATCTTTTTCTTCTTAAATAAAGGAGTGGAAATGGAATAGTGAAAGGAATAGTGTCTCTGTTAAGCTTTCCTTCATTTATGTTCCTTTCTTACTCGATGCTGTTGCCTAATATATATTCCCTTATTTTTATATTAAAATGTGCATCCAGGCCACACGGTTCAAATTCTTTTTTTTAGAACTTCAATTCTAAATTGGTAGTATTAATTGGTGTCCACTAGTAATTTTAAGACACACGCGCTCAGTGGGTCCATATATATGCTCCGGGAATTTTAATTAGCCGTGTGTGAAGAACATGCATGTGCATATGATGTCTGAATGTTGTTGTGAACCTTGTGTAAGGTGTGAGGATTAGTCCTCTTGACTTTGTTTGTTTGGGCTGTGTACATTTAAGTTGGATGTAGAGGTTAGGTTTTTAATCCATTTTCTAAAAAAATGTGCATATGATGCATGCGAGTGTATTTTCTGTAATATATTTGTATATTATTGAATTTGGAAAAATGAGATGACTTGAACTTCATAACAATATATAGATGAGTGCGTTGAAAATAGACGCGCATGTAGGTTTCATTAGATTCTCACGTTTGTAGGCGGATGAAAGGTCCACTATTCTTCTGTTACTTTTGGGTATGCGGTGGCTAATCACCGAGCTACTCCCTCCGTTCTTTTTTTACTACTTGCCATATAAAATACTGGCACAGTGCATATATTTAATAATTGAATTTCCTAATATTATCTTCGTAAAAATTACTGTATTAAAGATATAACTAGATAAACATATTTTTCATTATAACTCTGTCAATATCATTTATCATATTTTAAATCTTAATATGCATATATTAGTGGGTTAATGTATAGAAGTTTGACTACACATTTTCTATTTATGAAACGATGTAGTGATGAATGCTTTTGTGATAATGCAACGTTCATGAAATATGTCAGAAAGAATAAAATAGCATAAGAAAGTAAATAGCAACAAGACTGAACGTGCATGAGCATTTGCCTTTTTCTTTCAGCATGTGAACTTCAATTTAGTCAGGATTATCATGGCAAAAGAAATATCACTTCACCCTGCCAAGAAATAGATAAATTATTTGTTCGCCGCAAAATTAATATGCGAAACAGCTAACGGTCCTAGCGCATAAGTTCGGAGCATATATTCTTCTTCTTTCCTTATGGCACTCATTAGCAAGGTAGCCAAGAAAGCTCTATATAAACCATGTGCATCACCTTACACTGCCTTTAACCTCCTTTCTTTCCCTAGGACCTACCCCTCCCCTACCCTCTTGAGCTTTCTCAAATAAAAAAAAAGGAACACCTGAATTTTTTTGGTGATTCAAAGAGAAAAAGACAAAGATTTGATGGGTAACATGCTTTTATCCCCTGTTAATTTCTTGTGACCATTATTTTTTTCTGCCTTGGTTTTTGGATTTCATACAGAAAGTGTGTTGGTCTGTGCTAATCTTTTCCTCCCTCTGCGACAGCATCTTCGAGCTCTACCATGATGGCAAGGCCCGGCGCTGTGAAGAATATTGAAAGCTGGGACGAGTTTACAAAGCATTTTGTGAAATCAGAGGACAAGCTGGTAAACATATATACATATATAATCCAATCCAATTCAGATTTACATGTGATGTGATCGATCGACGCATTCATGCATGCATGAAATTAATATATTGAAATATGAATGATCAATCAGGTGGTGCTGGTATTCATGGCGCCGTGGTCGGAGCCGTGGAAGCTGATGAGGCCGGCGGTGGAGAAGATGGCGTCGGGGCTGAAGAGCGAGGAGGCCGAGGTGTGCACGATCAGCGTCGACCGGTTCAACACGCTGGGGCGGCTGCTGCGGGTGGAGGCGCTGCCGACGTTCGTGCTGGTGAAGAGGCACCGGGCGGTGGCTCGCGTCGTCGGCGTCAACCGGGACGATCTTCACAGCAGCATCAACAAGCACCTCGCACCACCCTCTTCTTCTCCACAACCCATTAATATTTCTTAGTGCTGTTGATGATTCTTGGTTGATTGCATGATATAATCGAGTAATGCCATGCGTCTTAATTATGAGTTGTAATTGTTTATCACATACTGTATTTGAGACATATTCAACCTTGTTTCGAGAAAAAAAAATGGAGATGAAAAAAAAATCTATTCATACTTATAGATTTTCTTTGAAGAATTTGTCTTGATAGGGTTGACACGCAGTTAGCACGAGAGAACTTCCGTAGCTTGCCTTCTGTACCTGTATGGCTGTATCGATATGTATGCGTGTCTTCTACGCAGCTAAGATATGAAATATATCATATGAGGCTGTGGAGAAATTGACTAATTTATACTCCTACGAGAAAAATAATTAATGCTTTCAGAATTCCATTTTTCAGTCTTATGTTAATGCTATGCTTGCCAATTTAAGCACTTTGCCATTTTTATTCAAGAAAAAATAGTGGATGCTATGCCATGTGTACCCATAAAAATTAATTAAAATGAGAGGAATTAATGTAAAACAAAATATTATATACACATAGGATAGTATATTCATCTGATTCCTAATCCTAATTCTCTTCGATTGATTGCCTCCATCTATTCCTAGGAGCCTATTATATGGTTCTATTCTAGGGATCTCCACCACTCAGCTCCAAAGAGATTGAACCATAGATCCGTGGAATAGAAAATTTCAGTATAACACTGTTACATTCTAGTGTTTTTAAGTGAGAAATTAGGAATTTAGGGGGGTCACCCCCCAACATAATATAGCTTCGCCAATGGAGGCAATAAAACCATAGATCCATGGAATTAGCTAGGGAATAGGCCAAGGTAATACAAGAGAATTAGGGCTTGTTTAGTTCCCAAGAAGTTTTTTCCAAAAACACCACATCGAATCTTTGGGCACATGCATGGAGCAGTAAATATTAATTTTTTAAAAAACTAATTGCACAGTTAGGGAGGGGAATCGCGAGACGAATCTTTTAAGACTAATTAGTCCATGATTAGCCATAAGTGCTACAGTAACCCACATGTGCTAATGACGAATTAATTAGTCTCAAAAGATTCGTCTCGCGGTTTCCAGGTGAGTTATGAAATTAGTTTTTTTATTCGTGTCTGAAAACTCTTTCCAACATCCGATCAAACATCCGATGTGATACCTAAAATTTTCCTTTTCGCGAACTAAACAGACCCTTAGAAGAATTAGATTCAGGAAGTAGAATAACATGAGAGGAAGTACAGGGGAAAGACAAATATTCCCTCCGTTTCATCATATTATAAGTTGTTTTTGACTTATTTTCCTAGTATAAAAAATATTTGGTTATAGAAAAATGTAGCACAAAATTAGTTTTATCACATGTAACATTGAATATATTTTAATAATATATTTATTTTATGTATAAAATATTGATATATTTTTCTAGATGTTTGGTCGAATTTTAAAAAATTAAAAAAAATCATAACGACTCGTAATATGAAACATAGTATTATGAATATAAAATAAAACAGAGAGTACTATAAATGAAAGTTTGTTCAACACATTATCACAAGAACAACAGATACAACCGACATGAAGGGGGATTGGATTCTCTGACTTACATATCAATGTCTTAAAGTTAGATAAAAGTAAATCGAAAATTAAAAACCGATTCCCACAAGAGCTAGTATATGCAAACACGCAAACAAATGCTCAACACTTGCAGCATGACCGGTCCCCAGCAGCGCAGTAAAACAAGGAATGATTACAACACATGTTAATGACCTACGTCAAAAGACAGCACGTATAAGGAGACTCATCTGAAGTAGGGTTATTGTTTGATTTTACTTATTTAACCAGAGTTCAAACAATCAATTAAGTGTTGAGATGGTTAATCTATCCCGAGCCTCATCGGTTGACCTAATAAGTCAAAACAAAAGCCAAAATTTAAATTTTCTAACTTGATTTTGAAGTTACATTTTAAGATGTTTTAAACATAATTTCTTTATAGCATTGGGTTTTAAATCACTATGAACAAATATATAAAAAATCTACCTACAAAATAAATTTTATTACCTAATAAACTGTTTTAACTTATTAGAAAACATAGTCAACGGATGAGGCTGCCCGTTTTCTAAACAGAGGCAGTACATAGTTGTACAAGAGACGTATCCCGTGTTTAGACTTTCTCTATACTATATTCATTCTAGTATATATCAGTACAAATTAGGCATACATAATTAATTTGATATTGTACTGTACATCGACGAAATTCAAGCAAAAAAACAATTGATCTTGCAATCAATCGATCAGTTAGCTCTTCTAGCTAAAAAAAAAAAAATCAACCGTGCGGAATCGGCGCGCCGCCGCCGCCACGGCGGTTCGTGTCCGGCGGCGGATCGACGTACCCATAATCCGTCTCCTGATCAACAGCGACGCCGACGACGCCGCGCACTGGCCGCTTCGTCTCCGTCTCCGGCACCGCGGCGTCAGCCTGCAGATTCACTCCACCACCACTTGTCGTCGTCGTCGTCGTTGGCGACAGCACTACTATTGATGCACCGAGCTCCACCGGCGGCGGTGGCGGCGGCGGCCGGCGGCCACCGCCGGCCTGAAAGCACGCGCCAGCAGCAACCAACGCCGCCGCCGCCGCCACAAGCAGCAGCCGCATTATAAGTAGGAGGGCGATGACGATTAGTGATATGAAACGGTTGGGTAAAGCTCGCTTCAAATTCAGTTTATGCATGCTATTTATGCTTGTGCTTAATTAGGAAGCTCATCACAAGCGCGTGGCCTACCTAATTAAATCAAGCTGATCATCAATCACTTAATTAATTTAATTCAGAGATATATCCGGATGTTTAATACTCCTAGTTGCTTCATTGCGGCAAGAAAATGGATCCTCCTCGACGTCCGCGCCTTCATCGCCGATCGCCGGAACGCCATCACCACGGCCACCGAGCTGAGCTCAGCAGGAGCTCCATTGAGGAGGGCACTGACGAGACGAGGCCATCGGCTCTGAACTTTAGGGATCACTGATCTCACGCGATATAAAACTTAAATTGGTCCTAGGGAGATCACGAATGTGTTCATTTCGCGTTAAGATTATAAGTAGGTCAACCAGCGAACCAATTATAGGCAACCTCATTTCCTTGTTGTTTTGTGCTTAACACCATATTATGAAACTTTCATCATTTCTCCAATCCTTCTTATCCACGGCTCATTTCAATGCAACTTCTAATGTTTCTTAGCCATGTTGCTTCTTTTGTTTAAAGGACAAAGTCTGTTTTACTCCCATAACTATCAGCCGAGTAAGAGGTTTTAGTACTCAACTATAAAATCGGATATTGTATAGACCTCGCAATGCAACTGTCCAAAAATCGAACAAGTTCCCCTCGAATGGCAATAAGGTTGTTTTTGCAAAGTTGGCATCCAAATAAATTACTAATATACTTTTCACTAACATGTCACGTAATTTCAATAAGCAAGATAGTAATAATAAGTAAAAGACACAGTAATCCATCCCGTTCCAGATGGGCTGAAAATAAAACTTTAACTGGCGGGCCGTTCGACTTATGGGCCGATTATCGTTGGGCCTGGACGGCCCATGGATAAGGACGATCCCCATCTCTCCGGATTCCTTCTTTCCTTCCTTATTGGGGAAAAATAAAAAAGAAAAAAAAAGATATGGTACAACAACCGAGAGCTCGCTAGTCGTCGTCCTCGAAACGCTCGCGGCGACTCCGGTGGCTGCCGCGCCGCCGCCTCCGGCCGCCGTACCAGCCTCACCTCGCTTCGGTAATCCCTCGCCTCACTCCATCCATCCCCATTCCCCAATCTCTCCGGCTCCTGCTTGCAGTAGTCCGCTACTCCTACGAATTCGCCGCCCTCCTCTACTTGTTGATTTGGCCTCTTGGTATGGAATTGAGATCGCGAAATGGTGCCTCCATCCTTGCTGGCTGGGCTTGGGTGGTCGATTTTTTTGGGGTGCTTGGTGGTTGATTTGGTGGTAGGATTTCGTGGTGGGGGGCTTAGGTCATTCACGGTCAATTTCGCATCGGCGATGCGTTTTTCAGTTGATCCAGTAGTTTGTTTCCTCTACTGGCGAATCGTGACAAATGTGTGACTTGTTTGGGATATGCTACGGCAACTCGAACCTTTAGTCGGTTTGAACGCTGGTCCGCTAATCCACTTCTCAGTTTCTTTTTTCTTTTTAATTTTTGGGTCTGTTTTTGTGGATCAGTTTCTACTGATTAGGCAGATCTGAACCTTGCTTTGAGACCAAGCTAAAGTTTTTCTCTTTGGACGGATTGGCGCAGAGAAATTAGTTATCTTGTTTCTTTTTCTTTGCCAAATGTTAATTAACCGCAGTGAAGGATTAGCCTAGTAACAGTATCCCATGAATGATTAAGTGCATGACTTAATGACAAAATATTTTGGTGCTGTTATTTTGTTCTTGTAAAGCATGATGTTTAGAATAGCCATCCATTCCTGTTCTATATCCTATGCTGTCACGTAGACATGATATGTTCTCCTTCCCTGCTGAAAAATAGGCTTGCAATCAGTTAGTATTTGCCTGATGCTTGTTTGTTTCTTTCAGATGGAGGATGGAGTGTCTACTTATACTGTTGATGAGGCTCTTATTTCCATGGGGTTTGGGAAATTTCAAGCATTTGTGCTTGCGTACTCCGGAATGGCCAAGATATCTGAGGCAATGGAAATGATGCTTTTGTCATTTGTTGGACAGTCGGTTCAAGCTGAATGGGAGCTTTCTGCGCAGGCAGAATCTCTCATCACAAGTGTTGTTTTTGTAGGTATGCTTGTAGGAGCATATTCTTGGGGCATAGTCTCAGACAACTATGGGAGAAGGCAGGTCCTTTACTATTTACATTCCACTGTTTGTCAGATTTATTTGAAATCTTCATTACAAATCTCTCTCCCTAACAATATACAGCTATTCCTATTACTGTTAATTATTGCATATTTATCTTCTAATAGAAAATCTAGGTATTGGCATTTTAATGAGTCATGGTGCTCTTGAATGATATCAAATCCGTATTATAGATATGATAGTACAACTCTTCACCCTATGGCTTTACTAAATACGATGTCTTCTGGGATAGTCAGATTAATGTAACCCTTGCTAGAGCTTCTTTGAGAGACTGAGAGCCTGAGAGACAAGAGCTTGTGTGGAGTTTGGATGTAGGCCTGCAAATCCCCATATACTAGACTGTTCCCACTTTTCAGTGACAATGAGTGCTACAACCCAGCTGATTAACCATATAGCAAATTGACAGAGACAATATCATGGTTAGGAGGAAAATGTGCATGACACTAGATGACAATCTGAAATTCATTTTACTTGGGGATTCTTCTGGCCTTCCAGTTTTTCTAAAAAAGTTCCAAGATACTCCTTTTAAATTTTCTGTTCATGCAATAACAAGAAAATTACTTGGATTTCATAAGGATCACTCACAGAAGCCCTCTACAGTACTTAATCACCTTGAGATGATGTTTTCATACATTGCTGGTGATAATTTTAATAGCCAGTTCTCTCATTAATCTAAAAGTATACTAAAAATACGCATTTTACAGGATGTAACTTTATTTTTCTGACTGTATTCCCTTGATACTTTTCCAGGGTTGGGTTCAATTTCACAGCCCTTGTAACTGGTGGGGCTGGTCTTCTTAGTGCATTTGCACCAAATTACCTTTCTTTGATCGTGCTGAGGTTTATGGTTGGTGTTGGACTGGGTGGTGGACCAGTTTTATCTTCCTGGTTTTTGGAATTCATTCCTGCTCCTAACCGAGGAACTTGGATGGTTATTTTCTCAGCATTTTGGACCATTGGCACAATAATGGAAGCTTCACTAGCTTGGGTAAATTTCTACATTTTGCCAAAGTAATACTACTGTTTGCAATCTGCCTTGGGTCATAGTGGTTCAACTGATCATACAAGTCAGTTAAACAGAACGATGCAACATATGATTTTAAAACAGTCGCTATATTTATTAAAACAGTGGAGATTGATGTAATTGAATTTCTTTGGTTCTGCACTGCAGCTTCGATGCATGTGTTTCTGCTACCCTGAGTAAATTTAACAGTGATAAAATATTAGAATAGATCAGATCCCATGGAACAGAATAATGAGCTTGCATTTGGTTAGTCAGTGATGATTTATGCATTTCATATAATGTAATGGAAACTGCAATGAACAATATGTTGCCTTCTAGTATGTACTGATGTATGCTCCAAACTGTCATTCTAATTTTGTAGGAACTTATTATTTGTTTAATTTTCAGGCTGTAATGCCAAGTTTGGGCTGGAGGTGGCTGCTAGCGTTCTCATCGTTGCCATCATTTGCTCTACTACTGTTCTATCCACTGACACTGGAATCACCAAGATACTTATGCATGAAGGGCAGAACTGCTGATGCGGTGCAGGTTTTGGAAACAATGGCACGATTAAACCGTGTAGCTCTCCCTTCTGGCCATCTTATGTCTGGCCATCGAATGGAGCTCCATGAGTTGACAGATTCCTCAGAGACATCACAGTTGCTTTCTGCTAAGAAAACCAACCCTGCTGCTCATTCTAGCAAAACCGAGATTGGGGGCCGCAATGCGATTTTAAAGCTTCTGTCCCCAAATTTAATTAGATCTAGTCTTCTTCTTTGGACTGTCTTTCTTGGTCATGCCTTCTTATACTACGGTCTTGTTCTACTAACCTCGGAATTGAGTCATGGAAATAAGATTTGTGGATCAGAGGGGATAGTAACAATGCAAACAAACCACTCAAACGATGCTAATCTGTACAGAAACGTGTTCATCACTAGCTTTGGAGGTACATGTGTTTCCCCCTTAGGCTTTACCATATTTCTTGAGAATGTTCTACTTCATGTAATCACATTCATATCACACTGTTGCAGAGGTTCCTGGCCTTATACTATCTGCGGCAATAGTGGACAAGATTGGGCGCAAACTCTCAATGTCCTCTATGCTTTATATCAGTTGCCTGTGCATAGCTCCCCTTATGGTCCCTCAAACAGAGTCCCTGACAACTATCTTCCTGTTCGGTGCACGCATTTGCATCTCCGCAAGCTTCATTGTCTTGCACATCTATGCTCCTGAGGTTTGCTTGATCACTCCCAACATCCCCAATACTTGGTTACATCGCTTGCAACAATAAAAAGGGAAATAAAATCACAAACCATTGCCTCATGTATTATCTTCTTTCCTTGCAGATATACCCAACCGCAGTCAGGGCTACCGGAGTCGGGTTTGCGAGCTCAATCGCTCGTTTCGGTGGGATCTTGTGCCCTCTTGTGGCCGTTGGTTTGGTGCACGCGTGCCATCAGACTGCAGCCATCCTGATATTCATCACGGTGATGCTCGTCTCAGGTGTTGCAGTCTCATACTTTCCCCTGGAAACAAGCGGCCGGAAATTGAGTGACCACATCGCGGCGTAAGAGCTAAGTTGCGAGCAGAATCTGACAGTGTTGCAAGTGCTAGTTTCTTTAGCTATACAAAATTACAGGATTGAGCTCCTAGAGGCCATTCAGATTTTTTTTTTCTTTCAGTTCGTTTAAAGATCATATATATAGAATAGAAATGAAAGATGGTGGATTTCAGATTTTAAATGTCATTACATTGTTTTAACCAGACATATGTAAACTGCCAAATCGAGATGCTTGCTTTGCTCTCTTGAAATGGGATGATCAATATGTTTTGAAGGAATTATAGTGCGTCGATCCCCCTTACGCCTCTTTTCTTTTTGCAACAGTACTGTATAGTTTTACATGGCTTATAATATTATAGTTCAAAAAAAAATTCCTCGCTAGAAATAAAAAGTGTTGTTCAGAAAACGTTCGGTACACTACAGGCAATAGGGGGAAAATACCAGTAAAAAAGTGGTATTGTACTATTTTTTTCTTTTCTTTTTTATTTTGGCTGCTGCTTAATTAATGGGCCGTGTTGGGCCGGCCCACTGACAGTTGGCACGGCCCCACGCGAGGACCAGATTTCCAAATTTCGTTGAAACGAAACGAACGGCTTCCCGCCACTCTCGGCTTCCTCTTCACGTTGCTTTCTCCCCCAACCTCTCCTCCTCCCTTTTTCCCCAATTAGCCATGAGAGAGAGAGAGGGGAATTGGTGAGGTGATGCTGCGTGTGGGGGATGATCCTCTCCCAGCTGGGAGGCTCCTCCGTCCGTGCTCCCCTCGCTGCGCCGCCATGGCTCGCCGGTGGCCGCCACTGGTGGTCGGCCTCGCTCTCCTCCTCCTCCTCTCCGTCGCGGCCTCCTCCGTGGTGGCCAAGACCGACCAGCCTGACGGTGAGCCAAGTTTTTTCTGCAATTTTTGTTTTCAGATTTTTCATTCGGTTTCCTCTCTTTCAATCGATGATATTCATGGATTGGATTCTGAAAGATGTGGTTTCCTGACTGTTTGCCTTCTCTGTTTCAGTTGCTGCTCTGAACGTGATGTTTGAGAGCATGAACAAACCGTCTGAATTGTTGGGTTGGAAAGCGAGCGGCGGTGATCCGTGTGGTGATGACGACGAGTGGAAAGGGATCGAATGCAGCGATTCATCTGTCACAGAGATGTAATTCACTGCAGCACTTTTTACCTTTGGGATTCTTGATTTGCTTGTTTTTTTTCTTTAAAAAAAGACGGATGAACAGGCGCACTTCTGAAGAACTTTTCTCTTTTTCATACAAGATGTTCACTTCAGTTTGCTAATCGCGTTGCATTTGCATAGAGCAGCAACTTGTCGGGGCTTGGATTAAGCGGCACGCTAGGTTATCAGCTATCGAGCTTGAAATCAGTAACCAAATTGTGAGTTGCCCCTGTGATTTCCTGTACTGATCATCCTAGTTATGCAACTTAGTGAATTTTTTCTCTTTCATAGTACAGCGATGTCAGCAAGAACAATTTAAATGGTGAAATCCCATACCAGCTTCCACCAAATGTGGTTCAGTTGTAAGTTTCTGGATTTGTCCATACGTACTTGCTGTTTTCATGGGTAATACAAGTGTTTTTTTCTCTAGCACTTTTTTAAAGGGTTTTCTTATATTCTCTTTTCTCTAATACAGAAATCTTCGAGGAAATGCCTTCAGCGGTGGTGTTCCTTATTCGATATCTCAGATGACTGATCTGGAAACGCTGTAGGAACTTTTCATTCATACCACTATATTAGTATTTTCAGTTGTTTTGTTTTCCTGTACTTACGCATGATTCTGATATCTGTTTTGTTGATAACTTGAAATCTTTTTTCCCCATGGATTACAGAAATCTTGGTAAGAATCAATTGAGCGGGCAGTTGACAGATATGTTTTCTCAGCTGCCAAAGCTTACAACAATGTAAGCATGATTTATAAGTTTTTCCACACACCAAAGAAAGAAAAAAATAAGAGTTCTCTGTACTTTTTCTATTACATACCTACATAATTGTAATTTCGCGCAATGCAAAGTAATCATGGTGCCAATTCTCATGTTACTTCTATTGCCCAAATCTTATATATCAGTTGTGTCTTCAGGGATTTGTCATTCAATAGCTTCTCAGGTAACCTGCCTCCGAGTTTTCAATACCTCAAGAACCTCAAAACACTGTAAGAAACTGAATTTTATGAACTATAGTAATTCATCGATAAGTTATTTTGGATGCTCAATTGACTGCCATTGTTTCCAAAATATATACAGAGATGTGGAGAGCAACCAATTCAGTGGTCATATAAATGTGCTGGCCAAACTTTCTCTTGAGGATCTGTAAGTGCTATTCAAGTGAAAACTGCATCCGGAACTACTCTTATCATTGTCCTTCAAAATATATTATTCCTAAATGGCTCACAGCGGCAATACCGAAGTATTGATGTTATCAAATATCAAGAGCTGTTAATAAAATTTATTTTTTTAGGCACAATGCAATCGTTATTTGTTTTCTATAGCTTAACTACATTACTTAAAACTCATAAGTACAATCTCAAACGTATGAATTTTCTTAAGCACATCAGTTAGGAACTAATCTAGAATGGTTTTCCTCCTTTTGTTCCCAAGGAATGTGAAGAACAACAAGTTCACTGGGTGGATCCCAAGTAAACTGAAGAGCATTGACAATTTAGAGTAAGTGGGACATCCAGTCAATATGCCTATTTTTGTTGCACTTGTGAAATCTGATAGTTCTGGTCACATGATGAAGGACTGGTGGGAACTCTTGGTCATCTGGGCCAGCTCCTCCTGGCATGGAGAAGGAGTCTTCGGCAGGAAGCTCAAATGGAAGGGATGATAGCGGAATCAATGGTTTCGCCATTGGAGCAATGGTGATAGCTGTGCTTCTTGCAGCTCTGATTCTCTTGTCTGTGCTGAGGAGGAATCATTCCTCTCCCGTCTCATCTCATTACTACACGGATGAGTCAGGTCAGAACCAACCATTTACCCCGCTAGTTGATGACTCGAGAAGTATTTATGCACACTGTATCTCTTGAATTATAGAAAACTACGTGGGTTCCTTTCAGCCGTGCATCATTTTGTGATGTGTAGGGAACTACGAATAATTAATGTGATATGTGATTCTGGTAATTTAAGTTTGAGACGTGCACTAAGAGTTCTCATCTTGCTTCATTTTCTAGGCCGTAGGAATTCTTCAGCAGTCAACATGAAGTCACTGGAGCATTCCCCATCGATGGGCTGTAAGACACCGCCTGCTGTTCCTCGCAAGTCGATGAGTGACAATGAGTTTGAGAACAAACTGAATCATTCGAGGCGAAGCACAGACCCCATCAGCTTGATGAATCATTCATCATCAGACCTACAAGCAGCTACTGGCAACTTCTCTAGTAACAGACAACTAGGTCAGGGGACAACCGGTTGCGTTTTCAGGGCAAAATATGCTGATGGACGGGTAGGCTCCTACTGTTTGCTTTCTAAGATCTTTCCAAATAAACTTGTTTACAGGCTCAATTCAGGTAATCATCTGAGTAAAAATTGAAGTGACACAAAGATCATGTCAAATATGCATGTAAAACACATTGCAGTAACCAAATTATTAAACTGAACTAGATACTAAGGTCTCAAAGAAGAATGCTTGAAGAGTTCAAAGAGGTCATATACCTTGAATTATGTGTGTACTAGCTCATCAATTACCATGAACAAATTTCAGGTACTGGCTGTCAAGAAGTTTGATCCATTGAGCTTCTCAGGAAGCAGTGACTTCATGGACACCGTCAACGGCATTGCCAAGCTGCGCCATACAAATATCTCTGAACTTGTTGGTTACTGCTCAGAGCCTGGGCACTACATGCTGGTCTATGATTACCATATGAATGGATCCCTGTATGATTTCCTGCACTTGTCAGATGACTACAGCAGGCCTCTGACCTGGGACACCCGAGTTCGGATAGCTGCCTGTACAGCCCATGCTCTGGAGTAAGTTGACAAGTAGGAGTAACATTGAATCCTAGAATCCAAAAATACATCAATTTGAATTCATGTGTAAGATTGTATCCCTTTCTTGTCATTCATTCAGGTACCTACATGAGGTCTGTTCACCTCCAGTGCTCCACAAAAACATAAAGTCTTCAAATGTCTTGCTTGATGCTGATCTCAACCCTCACCTCTCGGATTGCGGCCTTTCATTCTTCTATGAGGTTTGCATGCAGAGTGGCTCTTCTTTAACAATTGATGAACAAAGTATAATAATTGTAAGAACAATGTGGTCTAACGGTAGGGAAATCTCTACAGGACGCAAGTGAGAACTTGGGACCTGGGTACAGTGCTCCAGAGTGCTCAAGACCATCAGCTTACGTGATGAAGAGCGATGTCTACAGCTTCGGAGTCATCATGCTGGAGCTACTAACCGGCCGAAAGCCTTATGATAGGTGAATTAAGGGGGCAAAAAGATAAAACCTTGAAATTCACTACTGATATCCATAATGTGATGCATCATCTAATGTCTGCACTCTGCACATTATGCTTACTTTCTCTATGTGGCTGTCTGATGGTTCTACAGCTCCAAGCCAAGAACAGAGCAGTGCTTGGTCAAGTATGTGGCTCCACAGCTCCATGACAGCGATGCGTTGGGATCACTGGCAGATCCAGCTCTACGCGGTCTCTACCCACCAAAGGCGCTCTCCCGCTTCGCCGATTGTATCGCTCTCTGCGTTCAGGTGAGCTCCTTATTGTCGAAGAGATATCCCCATCAATGTGCTCCATGTCTGAACTCTGAAGTAATTTCAGACATAGTATGCTATGTCATTCAACCTGAGTAGCACCCCAAGGTCCTTAGTTCAAATCTATATATGAGCGAATTTCATATTGGTTATTTGAGGGCTAAGTTCCTAACTTTATAAAGGCTGTATATATCCGGTTGAATGTAGAGTCTAGGTAAAAAAAAAACCTTCTATTAAAAAAATAAAAAAAAAGGTCTGAACTCTCAAGTCATTTCAGACATACTATGAAGCTAGTAGTCTGAACTCTCAAGTAACTTCAGTACAGTATGAAGCTATGTCTGAGCTCTGTACTGTACTGATAATGGGAAATGGGGGGTGGGATTGGGATTGGGAAATGAATGAAGGGTTAGGATTAAATAGAAGAGGGAGAATGAATGGTTAGGATTTAAAGATGGGTGGGAAATCATTTCCCTTTCCCATTTGCCAAACACTACCTGAAGTTACTGAATTTGGTCTTGTTGGTGGTGATGCAGGCTGATCCAGAGTTCCGGCCGTCCATGTCGGAGGTGGTGCAGTCGCTCCTCCGCTGCGTGCAGCGCACCATCAGCAACAGGGGGATGGCCGGATACTTAAGCAACTCACAGCGGAGCGACATCTCCGATTGGTGATGGTGATGCACTTCACCGAATCATTGCCGACTTTGATTGAGGTTTATCTGAAGCAAAACTGCCCGTCAAGTCGTTCGTGCCATTGTACAAAAAGAAACGGCTTTGAGGTTAAGAGTAATCAAATTGGTTAATTTTTAGAGAAGACGGCAAGAATGCGTTATTGTATTCTACTTGTAGTGTATATTGTACTGATTTGTTCTTCCCCCTTTGTTTTGTTTTTATCGCTCTAAGGAGCACATGTAAAAGTCTGATACTGGAGTAGATAGTTAGTAAATGAATACACATGTAAAAGGCCTCTCTACCTAGCCACCTAGGTAACAGCAAGTTCAGTAACAGGCATTGCTGACATAGCATGAATTCCCTTTTGTAAGATGACAAAACATGAATTCACAAGCTCAATGATCACTACTTATGAGACCAAATCTCACAACACAGCTAAAAACAGCCGTTTCCTAGCAACAGAAGATCCAAGCTTAACTAGCAAACTATAGATGAATTTGCAGAACTCATCTAGTCTTGCACATAGTACCCAAACCGAGTATACATTGTCACACAGATTACAGGGCTACAACAAAATGAAATGGGTGCACTCAATCACTGCAGCATGACATTGAAGTTTGAACATACACTAGGGGGTACATTGCTAGGGGAAGTATTTCACATCGCAGTGGCCATGATAGTTTCATTTCCTCTGCACACTCTACTCAAAACTTTCCTACAGGAGAGAAAAGATGTTCAAATTAAGTAACAGAACAGATGAGATGCATCCAGGCATTTTCAATGGACAATGTAGATTACCTGCATGGTGCAACCTCACAGACTTTTGTCAGTTTAAATGCAAGCTGTGCAATGGCAATTCTGATTGCTGGCTCTGTAGATCCACTTGTTGCAGCTTCCTCCAATAAAGCAAGGAACTCCTTCTGTGCTCTCACAGACACAAAAAGTTGACTTGGCTTATAAATCATGCTCAAATCCGCTACCTAGGACAACAATAAAACCCACAATATGAATAAAGCGTATAAGCTTTCTTGGCATTAGCAGTTATTGCGAAACATAAATAGACTACAAGTGAACTTACCTGTTGAAGCCAAGGCAATGCCAAATCAAACATTTTTTTATTCAGAAACTGGCCAGCTATAACCCTCAAAAGTTCACTTGTTGTTTCACGTGACAATTTCTCAAGAACAGGTCCAGTTCTATCCATTACGTCAATCAGATAATCACAGTCACCACTGTTCAGGGCTTCTACATATGCAGACGCCATGTCATCATTACCATCAAATTCTTTAGAAGCACGCAATGCATTTTGCAGCTCAGGCTGCTCACAGGAATTGGTAAGTGAAACTGGAAAGTTTCCCTTAACCCCTGATGCTCGAGTCCTTGCTGAGCTTGGAACATATCTTCCCAGAGCACTTTCCGATCTCACAACCCCAGGCTTTCTAGTTTTGTCATGAGTATGACTCTTTAGAAATTCCCCCTCTTTTACACCCATGTTTAAGCCCTTTGATGGTTGATCTTGCATCCACTTTTTCTCTTGTTTCAAATGAGGAATTGGTGGTGGCTTATAGTTAGCATCCACAGATGATCTAGGTGTAGAAGTAGAAACCCTCGGTGAAGAAGTGGCACTTTGGTTCTTAATAAACTTGGAACCAGGAAGGTGATAGCGGCTTTCACTTTGAGTAATTGTATACACAGTTTTGTCTACAGCATTCTCCAAATTATGCACTTTCATGCTTAATACTGACATGTTCTCCACTGAGTTAGACATGAATTCCTGCACAGTGAAAGAAAGTAAGCAATTAGGACAATATTTAGGACCCCCCCCCCCCTATACTTTCATTACATAATTGACTTGTGCAGTGCTCTTTCCTACACGATATTATGGAGGATAGCAAAAGACAATCACTGGTATGAGTTGAAGATCATGATGCCTATTGTCATTATCAATTTCCCTTTTTGTTTAATCTGGCAATGGACTTATATATATAGGTAACTGAAATGCACAGAGCTTATTGATTTTCAAACAATATAATTTCCCTCATAACTTTAATCAAAACCTTGCTATTACATTCTGAAGAAAAACCATTGCTGAACTTAACAATCAGATCACATATATAAACATTTTTCCAGAAACAACCAAACTATAGAGAGTAGAATAAAAAAAACAACACAAAATAACAAGAATTACCTGCAACATATCAAAGATATTTGCTTGCTTCCTCTCCATCTCTTGAAGCTGCTTCCTGATATGAGATAGTTCTTTCATTGCACCCAAACAGCAAGTATGTGTCCCATGTGAAGTGATATCTGTAACAGTGGAGTCTATGCTCTTACTCTTTTGAGCCCTGGGGAATTGCTCAATGTCTCTTGCAGAATCACAATCCTCAACGCATTCCTGAGCAGAAGTGACATGCTTTGTCTCACAACTCCTGCTGGCTACTTCTGACATAGAGGAGCAATCTTGTTTATCATCCATGGGGTCATACTCATACTTGCTGTCATTGTCTACGATTTCATATGGACTTCTATTTGAACCCTTTAGCATGGAACCATTGCCAGACACCTTTTCTTCAAAATCAACTAATGGTATCATATTCTGCTTAGGAACAGATATCTCAACATGCCAATCGCTCAACTTCGAGCGTTGCTGATTTGCAGCATTATTCAGGGCTATTTTATTGATAGACAGAGGAGATCTCTTCTTTGATGAAGTAATAGAATTGCCACTGATTGCAGAAACAGAAGATGCAGGATCAACTCTCCTGAAAGAAGTGTCTCGTGATCCACCATCATTTATACTTCTACCATCATGATGGTCACCAAAGAAGTTTTCTGCCATAAATGAAATCAATAAACAAAAAAGGGAGAAATTTATGTGGCTGCTGTAAACTTCAAACAGATTCTATGTTAAGCTCGTAAAGGACTAACAAGAAAATTTAAGAAAAGAGACCATAGAGATCTGGAAATCTGGGGAAAAAAATCCTGATCCTTGGACAGACCTAAGCAGTAGATAGACTTGGCATGCAACAAGCAACATTGAATAGCAAATCATTGATAAACCCCTTATCTTTTGGGGTCAATGCACTAGTTCTCAAGAAACTAAAAAGTATTATGAGAGTACAAATTGCTAAAAAAAACAAAGGGATTAGTATTGTCAACAAGCTTCAGAAAGTAGTATCCAATCTCTTCTTTTAATTTGCAGAAGTCAGAAGATCACACCAGGCCAAAAATCTACTTATAAGGATTGTAATACCTTTTGTGGATGATCCAGCTTCTGATGGCTCGGGAGTATCAGACCCTGGAATAACCTTCCACAACTGAATGGCTTGGGTAATTGCATCACGCACTGGTTTGACCTGTGACAGAAGTCAGAAAAATAAGTGTAGCATATGCAAGAAAATATTACAGCATGAATGTTTAGTATGCTGACCTTGTCAAATTTAGAACGTTCAAGGGAGCGAAGGCAGGAAGTTCTAAAGGAGGCAACCAGATATCCAGAACTGAGAGCAATACTAGATAGAGCTATTGAAGCTGCTTTCCTTGTAGTCCAATCACTACTCTTCAGGGCATCCATAATACTTGTTAGAGCAGATGTTAAAGACTGCTCTGTAGAAGCACCTTCAGCCTGAAAAGTGGGACAGCAGAAAAATAAGAAATGTTATAAAAGATCAATCTCCTGTTTTGGCTAACACTTGTAGGACGAAATCAAAGGATGAATATGACTAATCTACTTCCAAGAAGGAAAATTTGATCTATGACACCAAAAGGATGAACATAGCTAACACAATTATCCTGACAATTGTATTGCTGAAAATCCATAGAAAGAGACAGCCATATTAACAGTCTCAAGATGAAACTAGAAGTTTGAAATAAAAATAGACACTCGACTTTTTGAGAACTCCTTTTTTTATGTGAAACTGACTGAGCAGTCATATAATAAAGTACTCCTGGCTCATTATACTAATTACTCCATTGCAATTACTTATGCTAAGCTACTTAAACAACCACCAGAGATAAGCATGGAATGCAATCACCTTAAAATACTGAAAGCACATTAATTAGGTACTACTAGATAAGCTTGAAGCGAATGGTGTTGATGATGCAAGAGCAAAATTCAGACCTGAATAATACTTCTGATCAACTCAATCACTGCAGGCTTTGCCATGAAATGGGGATTCTTGAGCAGTTTAACAACACGAACAAGCATCTGCGGCAGAACAGGGCCAGGGAAGTAATTGCTCTCGTCAATAACCTTGGCCAAGCAAGACGCTGCCCCAGCCTGAACATACCTATTCTGCTCACCAAGTGATTCAAACAAGGGCCGCACCAACGCAACCAATGCAGCGCCACCATCCCCATAGCCTCTAGCACACAATGCGAGGGTACCACAGGTATCAACACAGGCGTCCCTCACAACAGAGTCAGCATCCTTGAGGCGCTTGACAATGCTGGTCACCATCTTCGTCATGTGAGGTGCCACTAGGCTTCCATGGGACCGAGCCAATGTGCCAATCACCTTGATGCACTCCTTCCTCACCGCACTCTTCTGCTCGGCATCGGTGTCAACCACGCAAGACAAGAAGGGACCAACCATGTCAGGAGGCAAGGTGTCAGCGGCCTTCTCAAGCTCATCCAATCCAATCTGGTAGGTGTCCCTGTCTGCAATCTTGTTGATGGCCTGGACCAGCCTGTGCTTCAGCTCGAACACGGCCTTGCCTTTGGAGGTAACCGCATTGGACTTCATCTTGGCAGCCTAGAAGGCTAGAACACTCTTGCTGCAAGATACACAGCTGAGGCACCAACTTAGCAGAGAGCTCAGTAGCTCAGAGTAACATGGATACTGAGGGGAACAGTGGCTTCTCCCATTGGGGAATGGAGGTCGTGTTTCCTGTAGATTCCCCACCCATCACCTGATCTCTGAAAGAACACGTACATGAATGTGAATGAAGGAACCACATACAGTTGATGAACAAATTTGAAATTGGAGCAATCAATATTAGAATGAGAAATTTGGAGCTGTCAAAATTTTGAAATCGTACACAGTAAGATTCAGAAAGCTAACCAAATCAGGAGGAAATGAACTTAGCCCAAATCAATCAAGGGAAACCAAATAATGCACCAAATTCGAGATGAATAGCTATTGCGGCAAGGCTTTCACGCATCAATCTCAAGCTTATACTTAATTAGACGCATCGCACTATGATCATTTGAACAGTTAAACCCTAGACATCGGTGCGCAACCCAAACCCCTCCGCCGAGCTCCAAAGCTACTGGCTAACGGAGCATATAATTTTGGAGCAAATTAACATAATCACCCGACGCGTTCTCACCACCAAATAAAAAATTTGCACGAAAACAAATCGAACAACCACCGAAAATGCCATAAAATTCGAATCCTCCCCTTCCCTCCCAACTCCCACATCACAGAGCACATTAGCACACACATAAAAACAAACCCAAAAAAGAAGTAATAAACGAACCAACGAGCAAAGCTCAATTCAAACATGAACCAAAAACACCAGAGGGCTCGCGAACGAACTGTACGTACGGTTGGAGCAGTGGGATCTCCTTGCTCGAGTCGGAAGCCTCGCCTCGCGCTCGCGGCCGTCGCCTCCTCTCCTCGCCTCGCCTATCCAGAGGGGAGAGCGATCTGCTCCTGGAAGAAGTAGAGAGATTTTGAATTCGAATCGCAACTTGAGGTAAACAAGTGGGGGGAGTAAAATGGCAGCTTTTTTTTTTCTTTTACTCCTCCCTACCTTCTCTCTCCACGCCGAGGAGAGGAGGACGCCGAGAGCGCCAATTCCGAGGCAACTGCGAGTAGTAGTACAAGTCTTTGCTCCCTCTCTGACCACGACGTTTTCAAAGCGGTGTCCACGCCTTGCCGTACCGGCCCCACCGGGACCACATGTCAGTCAGTGTGTAGTTGGTGAGTGGATTAACGAAAGGTAGGTGGGCCCACATTGCATCTTGAGGCGCTTTTGGGTGCCGGGATTCGAATTTCGACGGCTTGGATCGGGGCCAGGCGTTGATCTACGCGCCGTCGGATGGACAAACCACGCACGCCGTCGGCGTGTCAGTTTGAATCTGACGCACCCACACTGTTACGCTCCGACGACCTTGCCGGATATTCGCACGCACACCATGAAATTGACATGTGGGCCGGAATGCATTGGCCCACGCTCTTGCTACCGTCCAGGTGCAGGAGCCTTGCGGGCTTGGCGTATGTGGATGACGCGGGCCCACGTCAAAGCGACACATTTTTGAAGTGGTACACGCCAACGAACTGGGCGGGACCGCGGGAAGAGGCTTAGGCCCTGTATAGATGGGGCTAAAATTTTTAAGTCCCTATCACATTGGATGTTTAGAAATTAATTATAAATATTAAACGTAGACTATTAATAAAACTCATCCATAATCTTGGACTAATTCGCGAGACGAATCTATTGAGCCTAATTAATCCATGATTAGCCTATGTGATGCTACAGTAAACATTCTCTAATTATGGATTAATTAGGCTTAAAAAAATTGTCTCGTGAATTAGCTTTCATTTATGTAATTAGTTTTATAAGTAGTCTATATTTAATACTATAAATTAGTGTCTAAATATAGGGACTAAAGTTAAGTCCCTGGATCCAAACACCACATTAGCTAAGTTATCGTCACCTAATAATTTGACGGTTATCATATTTACCATAAAAACCATATAGTTATCGTGATGTATACTGCAATTTCAAAAACCGAGAAGGTTATTGCATGTGATAATCATGATAACCTCACGATTTTGTAAACCCTGTAGGTGCCATGTCACATTGTATCTCGATATCAGCTATATGCATGGCCAACTTACATGGCCTTTAACTTAACAGCGATTTCAATTTTTACCCTTCAACCGAAATACCAGATACAATGAATTATTCAAGTGTCAAAACCGGTGCAATATAGGTAATGATGGTATAATAGCGGGTGGTTTTATCCAACGTGACAATTTGATCTAAGTCAACAGCGCTAAGTCGGTGTAGAATACGAGAGGCAGAAGGCGGATGCTTACAGGGAGATTGACGCCGGCGACGCCACTCGACGACCTCGACAGCACGAACCCTAGCGGCGCAGTACAAGCGTCCTTGAAAGCTCGGGGGACAGACAGGACAGGAAGAGGGAGAATAAACAAACTTTCTTGCTTAGAACTTGGACACGACACGGCTCCGGCACAATGTATATGGGCCGCACCTAGACCATAATCCCGTTTCGAATGGGCTGCAAACTCGAATGGGCTGCAAACTTGAACGGGCCACCCTATCTATGGGCCGATTGTCGTTGGGAAATGGGCTTACACGATAATGGGCCTTGACGGCCCATAGAGAAGGCCCATAGAGAAGGAATGGCTCGCGGGAAAGGCTCGGGCTCTCCGCTCTCCTCATCTTCATCTCCTCCGGCCATCCCCTTCTCCCCTCATCCGCCGCGGCCATGGCCACCGCCACCGCCACCGCCGCGCTCGCGCTCCTCTCTCCTCCGCTCCCCGCCTCCCCGACCCCTCCTCCTCCTCCTCCACTCCGCGCCATTCTCCTCAAGCAGCCTTTCCTCCGCCCGATACGCCAGCGGCGGCGTCTGTCTCCGCGTCCTCTCCTGCGCCGCCGCGACCCCGTCGCCGCCTGCGCACCCACCGCCGATGCAGAGACCGCCTCCACCTCGCGTTCCTACGACGCGCTGGAGGCCGAGCGCGCCGTCGCGGAGCTCCTCCGCGAGCACGGCGCCTCCCCGGCTGATGCGGCTTCCATCGCCGCGCGCGCGCCGGGGTACGCCGCCATGCTCGCCGACGGCGTCCGCGAGCTCGACGAGCTCGGGCTCTGGGAGTCGTGGAGCTCCGGGGCGGGGGCGGGCCGCGAGGTGGAGATGGCCGGGCTCGGGTTCGGGAGGAAGGTGTACTACATGGGGAAGGCGAAGAGCAGGCGCGACCGCGGCGTGGTGCCGCTGCTCGAGAGCGTCGGGGTGCGGCTCTCCTCCGCGAAGCTCATCGCGCCGTATGTTTCGGCGGCTGGTCTCCCGGTGCTGATCGATAGGGTGAGATCTACCACTTCATTTTGAGCTCAATTTGCTTCAATAAATTTTTGTGTGAGTGCATTTGATGATCATTTCTGCCCAGTACAAACTGCATAGTATGAGTGGTGAAATTCGGTGACATTACCTTTACTGACATGACTGAATCGTTTTGGATGTGATTGGCCAGACAATGCACTCTAGCTCTTGCCTTTCACTCTAGTTTAATTGCTCAAATAGTATAGTCCTTAGCTGTAATCCTGCATCTTAGTTCAGCAAACTTTTAGAAGAGTGAAGAGCTTGATCTCAAGCATGTGAACTACTCCTACCTCTCTTCATTCTTGCCACAAACCACAAGAGTACTTTCATCTCTTTTTACGTTATGGCAAAGTATTTACAGGGTAACTTACTGATAATTGACATAGGGATACACACAGGAATTTATCATTGAACACTTAACTCTAAAATGTGATGATGTCAAAAATATATGTGATATTTTTTCCCAGGATAGCGGTATTTATGTTTTTAACAGTTGTCATTTCGCTAGATAGTTCACTAGGTATCTGACTAACTGTATTCATTGCTTATGGTTTGTTTATATACAGATCAAGTTTTTGAAGGAAATTCTATTTTCAAGCAATGTCTATGAAACATTAATAAGTAGAAATGCTAAACGCATGATGATGCACTTATCAATACCTGCAGATGAGTCACTCCAAAGTACTTTATCATTTTTCGAAAAAGTAAGTATCACAGCCCTATTAGTTGTTTCTTGCACCAGCTTCCTTGCATCTTAAGCACCTACAAAAATTGCATCTTTTATTGCAGATGGAGGCCAGGTATGGCGGTCTTAATATGTTGGGACATGGAGATGTGTCGTTTCCCTATCTCATTGAATCATTTCCAATGCTTCTTCTCTGCTCAGAGAACAATCATCTTAAACCATTAATTGATTTTCTTCAGTACATTGGAATTCCCAAGCCAAGGATTGCATCTGTGCTGCTGTCATTTCCTCCTATCATCCTTTCTGATGTTGAAAATGATATCAAACCAAGGATTAATGCATGGGAAAAGGTATACCTAGAGGATATATTATGTTTGTCTTATCTTTTGGAGCCTGCGGTATAGGTGTTGACCTGATAATAAGTGAGTCATACAATATTACCACATTCCAAAATTTTCTAGGTTGGCATTGAACAAGAATATATTGGTAGGATGTTGCTGAAGTATCCATGGATTCTTTCAACATGTGTGCTAGAAAACTATGGCCAAATGTTAATGTTCTTCCAAAGAAGAAAGGTAACTGACAAAAGAGTTCTCCTACTAACTTGGCTTAAGATCCTGTTCATTTGAGGACACTGTCCATTGTGTTTGTTGTTACCTGAAATGGTAATGAGGTTCTTGTTTTCAGATTTCCAGTACAGTCCTTGGTGTTGCGATGAGAAGTTGGCCCCATATTCTGGGTTGCTCAACAAAAAGAATGAACTCAATTGTGGAGCTGTTTGATGATCTGGGTATCAGTAAGAAAATGTTGGTTCCAGTTGTTACATCAAGTCCACAGTTGTTGCTGAGAAAACCAAATGAGGTTATGCAGGTTGTACCTGTTCTTATGATTTCTTCTAATGTATAAACTCCACTGGAATGGAGAAGCTATATTACTTTGTTTTAGAAAACTGGAACTGACTATTCTTCCTTGTATCTCAGATTATTCTCTTTTTCAAAGATATGGGTCTTGATAAGAAAACAGTGGCAAAGATTTTGTGTCGTTCTCCAGAAATATTTGCTTCAAGTGTGGAGAATACCCTTAAGAAGAAAATAAACTTTCTTATTGACTTTGGTGTTCCCAAGCATTATCTCCCTCGCATCATTAGGAAGTATCCGGAGCTTTTATTGTTGGACATAAATCGCACAATGCTCCCCAGGTATGACTGCAGCTCCTTCTATAATTATTTACTACAAATGGCTTATTACATGTTTATACTTTATAGTTCTTGTGAACATGTAACTGACTTTAACTCATCTATGGTAAGTAGTTTATACTGGTCAGCCGAGCTACAAAACCCTTGGGTAATGTAATGTATATCTGTTGGGGCCCTCATAATTTTCACCTATGCTTGGGAAAATCTTATGCATCTCTTGCCCTTAAACACATAGTTTCACAAATACTCCTTCAAACATAAGGACCAAAAATTGATAAGTTTACTGGGCACTTAAACCCAACCAGAACTGACAGGTTCAAACTTCAACATGTTGGCTATCACTAGTATTGACCAAGAAAGTGTGTCGTTAGCACATTACTATGCATTAGAATATGACATGTTTCATATGATCTGTTGTGCCATGATAGGCTTAAGTGGAAAATGCAGCACGACATTGGCAACGCTATGTGCTTCTTAGTTATGTTATGCTACTTCCAATTCTTCTGCAAGATGCAATGTGTTATTGGTGCAATTATTGCTGATTTTTTTTCCTGAAATCTTCTGGAGTTCTTGACTCCCTGCAGTCAGTATCCAGTAGAATAATCCACTTATGCATTCAATCTCTTGTTTCTGGCACTCATTTTTTATATTACTATCTGTTGATGTATGGACTTACTGTCTAATGATGTGATACTCTACCAAATATGTTCAATGCATGTAACAGTATTCCAATGTTTACAGAATCAACTACCTCTTGGATATGGGATTGTCTAAGAAAAATGTGTGCTCGATGATCTATAGATTCTCTCCACTTCTGGGTTACAGTATTGAACTTGTTATGAAACCAAAGCTTGAATTTCTGTTAAGAACCATGAAGAAGCCACTTAAAGCTGTTGTAGAATATCCAAGGTACTTCAGTTATTCACTGGAAGGGAGGATAAAGCCGCGGTTTTGTGTACTTCAGAGTAGAAAGATAGACTGCAGTCTGACAGACATGCTTGCAAAAAATGATGAACTTTTTGCTGAAGAGTACCTGGGAGTAGGAAGATCACTTGAGACAGATATACAATCAAGCGAAGGTGTCTAGTTTTGGGGCTCATATCAAGTGTTAACTGTGTTACAATACGTATGTTAATTGTACAGCAGCGTGCTTCCATATGAGGAAATCCACTTCTGCAGTGCTCAAGCATTGTGAAGGTAATACATGACTGGTAAATTGCTGTAGAAAAATAGCTTGTACAGATCGACCGTTGTATGTGGACGTTTTCTTATTCCAGCAAGGTGTGTTTAGAGTGGCACCCAATGTATGTATATAACTCACAGAACATAATTAGACATACATGTTAATTTGTTTCTCATGTTGTTCTTTCAGGTCTGGAATACAGATAAACAAGGGGGTTCAGAAATAGGTGGTGGATAACAATCTGCAGCAGAAAGTTCAGGGATGTTTGACACCTTTGTCTGAAAGCCAATATGAATTATCACAGCCACAGGCCACAATCCTCACCAGGTTCATCTTTTGAGCACCCCACTGGCCATGGTCTTTTATCGTCCCGTTCTCAATAAATTGAACCCTCTCCAATCTCCATGGCCTCGACACTGTTCTTCGTTTGCACAAGTTCGAGGCCTTCTCCACTGGGATGCCCCCTTAATGCCACCAGACAGGGTATGAGGGTAAACTGAAGTTCAACCCTTACAATTCTGCACCAGCTGATCATCTGATGAAATTTTGCAAAATCTGCAATTATCAGGATTGACGAGAGAATCAAAGACCTAGCGTTTGAACAGTTAGTTACCTGAGCGAGTTGATTTGCACTGTTCCTTGAACACACAAGTGCCAATGGCAGTATGTTGCATCTTCATCCCCTGCAAACCTACAAGGGAGAAAAAAAATAGTTGGCATGTATTAATCGGAATCCGAGTCTCACATGTATTAATCGGAATCCGAGTCTCCGACTCGGATTTGTACTAGCTCTCCTCCTATAATTCACGCGCCACCGCTTGCTTGCATTGCATGCGTTCTTTGACACAAGGACAACGTCGCAGATTCGCAGCCAAGGACGTCGTCCGTGATGGCGCTCCGACCACCGCGGCCGTGTCCGGCCGGCGTGCAGCAGCGGCAGCACGACGTCGACGGCGCCGGCAACGCCAAGACTTCCCCGGAACAGAAGCTCGAGTTGCTGGACCTGCAGGAGGAGGACGACGAGCTCATCTTCCTCGACGCCGACGACGAGGAGGGACGCCAGCTGCGCGAGAAGCTGGAGTCGCTGGAGCGGGAGTTCTGCCTGCTGGATGAGCAGCGGGACAACGCGCTGTTCCAGATTCACGTGCTGGAAGAGACGGTGCGCTTCCGCGAGGAGCTCGTCAGGCGGCTGACGGCGGTCACCCCCCTCGTCGTCGCCCAGCTCGACGAGGTCGTCGACGAGCACCACGCCGTCGTGACGCTGGGCGACGGATGCGAGAGGAAGATGTGCGTCGGCGTCGCCGGCTCGCTCGACCGCGGCCTCCTCAAGCCCTCGGCGAACGTCGCGCTGAACGGCCGGTCGCTCGCGCTCGTCGGCGTGCCCCCCTCCGACGTCGCCGCCTGCTCGGCCGCGCGGTTCCTCGTCGCGGACGCCGACAAGCCGGGCGTCGCCTACGACGACATCGGCGGGTGCGAGGCGCAGAAGCGGGAGGTGCGCGAGGCCGTGGAGCTGCCGCTGACGCACCCGGAGCTCTTCGCCGCCGCCGGCGTCGACCCGCCGCGCGGCGTGCTCCTGCACGGCCCGCTGGGCACCGGGAAGACCATGCTCGCCAAGGCCGTCGCGCGGGAGACCTCGGCGGCGTTCTTCCGCGTGAACGCCGCCGAGCTCGCGCGGCACGACGGGCCGAGGGTGGTGCGCGACCTGTTCCGGCTCGCCAGGGACATGGCGCCGGCCATCGTCTTCATCGACGAGGTGGACGCGATCGCGGCGGCGCGGCAAGGCGGCGACGACGACGACGGCGGTGCCAGGCGCCACGTGCAGCGCGTGCTGATTGAGCTGCTCACCCAGATGGACGGCTTCGACGAGTCCACCAACGTGCGGGTGATCATGGCGACGAACCGCGCCGACGACCTGGACCCGGCGCTGCTCCGGCCGGGGCGGCTGGACCGCAAGGTCGAGTTCACGGCGCCCGAGAGCCCGGAGGAGAAGCGGCTGGTGCTGCAGACGTGCACGGCGGGGATGAGCCTGGACGGCGACGTCGACCTCGACGCCCTGGCGGCGCGGCGCGACAAGCTCAGCGCCGCCGAGATCGCCGCCGTGTGCCGCAAGGCCGGCATGCAGGCCGTGCGCGACAGGCGGGGCGCCGTGACGGCGGACGACTTCGACAAGGGATACCTCGCCGTCGTCGGCAAGAAGCCCGGCGACGCCGCCACCGAGTTCCACTTCTACAACTGATCGCCGGCTTCGCTTAGCAACACAGCTCATATCTTTACGCCTTTCACTAGGAAAAGGCATTGTATAGCTCCTGCTTGGGCAACGTCTCAAATGTATACAATTATTCTGTAATTCACTGAACAAATTTAAGATAGAAACACCAGCAATTTTACCTTCTTTTCAGAACACTAACAGTCTCTTGTATTTCCTTTGAGAATACTTGGTTCATACTACATAGGAGACAACGTCACCAGGTTACTCATATTCCCAAGTCTACTTGCAAACAAAATGCGTTTAAAAATCAAGTAAATTCATCATTGAGACGTTAGCATTTCTTCAGAAAAATGCATGAAATAGGAATCATCCAAACAGAGCATTAAACCCTAAAGTAAATCCATCAGAGGCTTATGCGTCACGAGTTTATTTTGAGTTACCAACAGGCAAACTCCTTGTATGACATAATATAAGTCGAAAGAGTTACATGAAGCATCAAGTGCATACTCGTAGGAGCATACTTCTTCAAGCATTGATCGCTGAGAACAAATTATGACAAAACAAGATAAAAACAGGAGTCCTCCTTGCAAGTTCAGACATCCTTCAATACTCTTTCTTGCCAAAGTTTTTGCACCAAAGTTGAGATGGGATCGGCCGGACCGGGTGATGTGGGCGTTGCTGCAAAACATTAGATCTGTCAGCACATCTTTCCACAACTAAAAGAACGGATAAGATCATTAACAACTGCAACCTTACTTAATGGAAATTATTATGTGTGAAAACATATATTCCAATGAATGTACGGGGGGAGGAAACCTACTAGCAAGATTTCATGTTTTGTGATAAGTAGAGGAAAATGAGATATACAGTTGGCATGCATTGGTGTTGACATGATACACGTCAAGCTTTACAAAACAATGATATGCAAATGCTTATGTTTTGCCTATGATTTTTGATTCAGATGAATTCATTTACTCTTCACCAACAGAAAGCAAACACTATCCACAAAAAAAGTTACACATTGATGTACAGAAAAACAAGAATAATTGTAATAATCAGCTGATGGCAAGTCGACAACATCATCCCAGTGCTTGTATAATTTTTTGATGAAGACAACTTTGAAACACATGACATGAAAAACCGAATTATTATCAAGACCATCTACCAAATGTAAACACTAGATCATCTGTACTTTATCGTGCAAGTTCCTGTGGACAATCCACAAATTTATTTGGAAATGAACATCAGCGCATATACCACTACAAGATCTCTTAGCAACAAACCTCCTGAGATCTAGTTGCAAAACAAAAACAGGGTATCCTAGATGGCTTCATCCCACCAGTAGCACACCTACTACTGAATGGTCATAATGCAGCCAGGAACATGGAATAAATCCCTTTCCAAGTAGGGGGTTCAGAAAGAAGCTTTTCTCATTGTTTTGAGGAAATCAAGAAGAATTACTAAATGACTCATGAAATTATGTATTTACTGACAAAGTTGGCCTTTATCGTAGTTTGTCTAATAAGCGAGGAATAATAATCTTAACCACCATATGGTATATGGTAGAAACTGGTATTCAAGAACTGATTACAGAACTCCATTGAATAGATTCAGCTACCACTAGAACATATTAGCATTTGTTTGCACAATAGTACAAAACTAACTGAACAGGCATGCCTGTCACGTGCATAGAACAAATGTGCTTTACAACGGGAACAAGTAATTTCATTTCAAGTTTTGTCTAGATTAACTGGAAAATTGCACGACATTTTTTGTTTTATATCTAGCATTTCTCCCAGTTGCCCTATCTAATGTCTTCTCCTCTAACAAGAAAAATCAACAATTCAACATTCTATTGCACTTTACTACCCAGAGCAACTCAAAGGTATTACACGAAAATATTACTCAAACATTTCATCCAGGTTTGAGTTAAGCGTATTCCATAGGTTCCCAATAGAGCTATTACCATTTCTTCTTCTGCACACCGAGTTCCTGATATGCACAACAACGTAAATCTTGTTCATATTCGTAATGACCCCAACAAAAATGTTTCTGCCACCCTATCTATTGTTTGCTCCTCATTTCCATTCCCCACGGATCACATCTCCCGGCTAGCGATTTCGGATCAGCTCGACCAGATACGCGGAAAGGACAAGCATGGCGCGTGACTAGTACTACGTGGTAGGGTTTGGATGGCGGGGAGACGTACCTCGAGCTCGGCGGACTTCATGGCGATGGGGATGCAGACGAGGAAGACGCCGAACATGGCGATGGCGGTGTTGCGGCGCCAGTGCACGGGCCGGCAGTAGGGCCCGCCCGTCATGCTCCATACCTTCTGCCGGAAGTCGCCGCCTCCGTGGCCGTGCCCGCCATGGTCGCCGCCCATCGCCGCCGCCGCTTGTGCTGCTCGGATTCAATCAGATCGGGATGCGATGCGAGTGTGGTGTTGAGCCTGACGGGGGAATTGGGGATTGTGTTGTGGACACCCTTTTTTGCACTGGAGTCCCTGCTAATTTCGCAAAATTACATTCTATAACTACTTTAATAGAGAAGTTAAAAAAAAAGAATGTAAAGAAAACTCTCAAAATTGTTACTGCTAGAATTCGAATTTAATCCTAGACAATAGAGGCAGTAATGACACAAAAGAGTTTTCGTGTTTGGGGAAAAAGGGATATCATTTGCGAAACTTGGTTGATCATGATGGATCATCTGTTTGATGAAGTTATAATCATGACACAACTGTTACGATATTTGCTATTTTATGACTAATTCTATTGATCTTTGTGAATCTTTTGAACAGTAAAAATCCCTCCATTTATACAGGAACTTCTTTTGTCTTGTTGACCACAAAAGTAAGAACGGATCTATCTATTTTATTATCTATCGACTATTAGCATCTGAGTTGTAAAGAGACAATCGGACTCTCATATCGCTAGGAGAATTGAATCCATAAAACTGAAAGAACGGTGTCACCTATATCGTAATACACTAATCTTATGTGATACATAGTACCATGTCTATTGCCTATGCATATTTACCACAGATTTTGCCAGATGCCATCGAAATCAATTGACCACAATTGTAATACTATAGCTCCATTCTAAAGGATCGTCCATTAAAAAACCATTTTCACCCCTTATTATAGGTTATAAATTTAGCTTTTAGAGCCTCGGAGACCACCAAACCGTTTAGGATTTGGTTTACAATTTGAAACTCTAACAACACCTTGGCTAGGAAGAGACCAAATTTGTTACTATCTCCGTTCTAAAATATCAGGAATTTTGCTCATGTTAGAACGGGGCAGTATATTTTGTCATTGAGACCGAGACGTGAAACCTTTGTGATGAAGAAGACATTTTATCACAAGTATGATAAAGAACCATAAGAATGGTTATTTTGACCAAACAATGGCACTGTAAGGTAACTTATGATGGTCACAAACCAAATAATAACCCCATATCACTGTAAGTTGTCCTCATATCACAAGATAGTTTATACTTTAGGTATGACACCACCAGGCAACATGCGGCCGCAAACTAAACAAAATCCTTACTGAACTACCCATGCTCAAAAGATAATATCTCGAAGCCAAAAGGCAAAGAGTTATTCCAAAACAATTTTTGATGACCATTGTGATATGAGGACACCTTTCCTTGCGTAGAGACTCAAACTTCTGCAGTGAATCAGATAACACTGCGAGACAAATAGTTGATTGCCAACAACAGAGTCTCCTTTGTCAGGGCAACTTCATTGGGGTAACAAAATCGAAAGTAATTTGTTACATATAAACATTACAAAGATTTGATTCAAGAAAACAAAGCACAATGAGACTAGCAACTGTGCTTTTCTAATCCTGTAAGAACTACCCAACACTTTGACTTCTTCAACAATAGCACGTGTAAATACAGTACATTGATAGGGGGGAAAAATCATCAAAATGGTACACCAAATCAGCTTGAGCAGCCGATTCATCATTGCATACTTAAAACCTAGGAGGGCTTGTTGGGATCCTTGAAGCCCCCTGCATTATAGCTGTTCGTCTTTTCCGATAGTATACAAATGGGCCACTTATTAGCAGCATTCCAGCCATCATAACCTGTAAAGACCATAAACTTCCTTAAATTACCATGCTATAAGAAAGAATAAAAACCTGTCATAGATAATCATGATATGATTAAGAGCCATGAAGATGTTTAATTTAGGAAGAACAGGAAAATGAGGAATGAAATAGATATTTTGGATTAGGCTCAAAGAACATATAAATTGTACACAATACAGGACAAGACTAAAACCCTTGACACACTGATCACACATATATAACCTTAACAGAATAAAGTTTTGTCAGAAACGTACACTTTGCTTCATAGGGTACACAAGTATAGATAGTATTTTCACAAGAAAAAAACAAGACAATACTCACAACTGAATCAACCAGAAATTAAAGCTCCAGACAGGCACATACTGACAGAAAAAAGGGTGGTTCATGTGTTTGCTCCTGTTTAAGTGTGATAGGTTAAATCTCGTCCCAACGTTCTTAAAAAAATAGATAAATATTTCACAGTTTCTGGCTTTACACTATCTACTTCCACAGTTTTAATGTAATCAAAAATTTATGCTGGAGGGAATAAATTGATGGCAGACAGCCAGACAGGCATAATCTTTATAGCAATATGAACAGAGAGAAGTTCTATGATTTAATACCTCAAAACCAAGAACAGATAACTTCTCTTCATCCTCCAATGGTACACAACTCCTGTAAGTTGTGTAATGCTTTGAACCACCTGACGTGGATGCATCGTCCAGCACCTTCCGTTGCTTAGTATTATTTCCTTCTTTGGTAACATTTTGTACTTCTACACATTTCAATGGCAAGCGGTAGCCGGTTTCACTGCAACAGTACTTCTCATCGCTCTAACAAAAATGAAAATGAAATTGTATGTCAGCATGCCATTTCAATAGTTGATAGTTGTCTTCAACAGAGGTAATTTGATATTTTCAGCCCTGACTCAACACAAACAAAGTATTCAACTCCATTACAAATATGAAGGAAAAAGCAAAAATGAGCAGCAGCTGAAAGCAGGCATATCTATTGGTGGTCAGGGAAAGCACAGTGCACAAAGACTCTGGCACATGTATTTGCGAATATAACTATACAAATTAGGTTTCCTAGTAGAGTCATCTGCACGACAGCAGAAATCCCAACATAAGTAGCTTCTAAGCTTCATAACCATGGAAAAGACACTGAGTTCTGAATGAACACATGGTCCAGGAAAACTAATCCCACCCTGTAAACTAATTATCCAAAAGCTACGAATAATCAGCACAGTCCAGCCAATTTTCAGATCACATCTTCTAAAAGGCCAGGAAACGTGGTAATAGGAAGTTAATTACTTGATAGGACAGTATAAGGAGTTGCGGGGGTGGGGACTGGGGATAAGAGTTAATGGGTGTCGATTCTGACCAATAAAGATAAAGTGCACTGTGCGAGACATCCTTGTTCTTACAAACCCTGTTGGCCTGCCCCATCAGGCTGTAATATAAATTCCATTTGTTATTCAATCAATATTTGTAGGTTGGTGATTTTGGGCATAACATAAATGGAATCATTTATATGTAAGGCTTTTTCCTAAACTATTAATGCCCCGTTGACATTCTATGATATGCACAAAAGGACATATAACTATAAAAGGTTCATCTCCCACTCAATGGAAAAGTAGAAAACTCTGTTTATGTATCTTCAAGATATACACCTAAGATCATGAATAACATAAAGATGAGAAACAAAGAAATCGTTGAGGTAACTTAAAAACATAATATATGTATTTCCCTCAACCCATAAAATTTGCCCCTTTCTTTTTTGATACACTCTAACATACAATATTGCACCTTTAATGCATCAGCTAGAGCACAAACCACAAAGTTACGATTCTATAATCACTAGAAAGGCTGAATAAGACTCAACTTTCCTATAAATCTTTGCATGAAAGAACTAAATTTCATTATGTTAGAAATGCTATTTATTATAGAATCATCAACAGCTTGAAAGAGCAACAAAGTCCTTTATTTTGAATTTATTCCAACAAAGCCAGCAAGCTCACACATGGTAGCAACCCCTCAATCATATTACACATGAAGCAAGTTCGCTGAATCCATTATCACTTGGCCATATCTTTATTGTGCAAACCGATACAGTGATTAAGGAGATGAACTAAACATCACCAGCTAAATAAATCCTACTGTAAAAGGATTATCTTCTTCAATAATCAATACCATATCAATGACACTCCAACTAATAAATGGCATCAAGAACTTGGACCTGATAATTGATATAGTGATATGTGCCATCCGAAGACTAACTATTACCACGCAAACCAAAACGAAAGTCAAAGAAGAAACTCAGATTTGAAGCAAAACGGGCCTAACTTTAATCAAGATCCGATCGTTTCTTAATGTGCACACTTCTTCAGTTGTAGCAATCCAAGAACACGGATTATTCATAAGCTACATCGAAAAATAAATTAGGAATATAGTCCTGAAAAATCCCAAATCCAATCCAATTGCAGGACTGCAACATCGTCCCTCTTGTTTCACCCTCCCAAGATCGATTCCCCCCTCCACGGTGAGCCCCAAGATCGAATGACAAGAGTCAGAGCATAGAACCGGCTGACCTTCTCGGAGTATTGGCAGGGGACGCAGGGCCCGGATGGGGAGCACCGGTAGGAGGAGTTCCCCTGCGCCTCCACGAACCCGAGCAGCGACCTCCGCCCCCCGGAGGACGTCGTGGCGGCGGCGGCCGCGGCGGCCATCGCGATCGCCGGAGGGATCCAGCACAGGGCGGCCACCGCGAGGAGCAGCAGCAGCAGCAGCCGCCACCGCCACGAGGTCGTCGCCGGCGCCTTGTTCGCCATGGCTGCCTCCGCCGCGGTTTCGCTCTCGCTGGCGCGGTGGTGGTTGCCTTTTGTTGGAGGTTGGAGAGATGCACCCGTTAACCCGATACTCTTCTCGGGTCGGGACTCGCGTTAACGGGTCTGAACACGCGAACCTGACAGAGCGGGGTTAACGGGTTAGAAACCTAATGGGCGCTAAGTGATTCGGGTTAACGGGTTTGAACCCTCGAACCCGGATTTATACTGTTCGTCTAGTTCTAGTAGTCTTCGTGTCACGCAGCTGAACCAACCGGCCGCCGCCGCCGCCGCCGCCGCCGGCAATGTTCCGCCGCCTCCTCCTCCCCCTCCGGCGCTGCTTCTCCACCTCGACGTCCTCGAGCGCGACGCCAACCCTCTACTCGAGCGGCACCACCCCGGTGTCCATCCTGTCCTGGGGCCGCGGCGCGTCGGGGCAGCTCGGCGGCGGCAAGGAGGAGCGCCGCCTCTACCCGTCCCCCGTCGCGCACCTCTCCCTCCCCGACCCCGCGCCGGTGCTCTCCCCCACGCCCGGACGCCTCCCTGACGCCGCCGCCGCGGGGACGGCAGCGGGGGGCGTGGAGGTGGGGATCTCCTGCGGGCTGTTCCACTCCGCGGTCGTCGTCGACGGCGGCGCCTGGGTGTGGGGCAAGGGCGACGGGGGCCGCCTCGGCCTCGGGGACGAGTCCTCCGCCTTCGTCCCGCGCCACAACCCCAACCTCAGCGAGCTCCGCGTCCTCGCGCTCGGCGGCATCCACTCCGCCGCCCTGACCGCCTCCGGGGAAGTCTTCACCTGGTGAGGAAACCACCACCACATTGCTCATTTGAAATTCCTTTTGGTGTGATTAGATAATAATAATAATAATAATAATAGATGCTTGAGTGAGTGAGTGCTCGCTGGATGAACTGCAAGAAGAATGCATTGCAAATTTATTGGATTTGGCTGCTGCATCACTCAGTTTACTGTAGTCTGCAGGGGTTATGGTGGATTTGGTGCTTTGGGGCATTATGTTTACCATAGGGAATTGTTGCCAAGGAAAGTGAATGGTCCTTGGGAAGGGAAGATATCACACATTGCTACCAGTGGAGCACATACTGCGGCAATCACTGACTCAGGTTGGTCCAGTTCATGGTTAATGCTGATTGCTGAAACCTGAAAGGGTGAAAGACATTGTGGATAATCTTCCACTGCCTTTCACAATTGAATGCTTTGGAATATTGGCATTTTGTGATTGTCAGACCGCCTCAGCCCTGATCTTGTGGCTTTTGTGAACAGGTGAGCTCTACACTTGGGGTCGTGATGAAGGCGATGGTAGGTTGGGGCTTGGAAGTGGAGGTGGTCCTGGTGAAGCTGGATCTCTCAGTGTTCCTTCCAAGGTGAACGCTCTGCCTGTTTCAGTTGCTGCTGTGGCTTGTGGTGGTTTTTTCACTATGGCTCTGACTTCAGATGGTCAGCTATGGAGTTGGGGAGGTTAGTATGTATAAACACTTGGAATATTTTATCTTTTTCTCTTATTGGATTAGTGTTTCTTCTCTTTAGCAACCAGCAATGCCTTACAGTTCACATTAACGTGCAACTGTGCAAGGTGCTAACCGGGAAATGTTGTGGCAATATACAAGTTTCCCTCTAACTAGCTGGCATCTACATTCCAGATCCTTTGTTCATAGACTGGGCATAAAGTTATTAGGGCTTGATAGTTTTACTATAATAATCTCAAGCTAAGCAGTGTGTATTGAACAGAGCATCTGACATGGTACTCCATGCTTTCAGTTGGCTCTTAGTGAACCTATCCAAAATGCAAAACCAATATCTCAAGAACAAATTGATTTGATATGCTTTCATCTATTCTCCACTGATCGTGGTTCTAGAATCTCCTGTTTTAATCCCATCAATTTTTATAAAAGATGCAAGTGGAATCACATATGTTTTTAATGCAAGTGGAATCACATATGTTGGGTCTAGAATTTCTAAACCTTGAGTTAAATGGTTAAGGAATGCCACCTGAAATGTACTTCTTGTCAAACTGTGTAGATACTCTTTAATTTAATTTTCTACATGCTTTTTGTCTAACCTCCATACGATTTCCAGCAAATTCAAACTTCGAATTGGGTAGAGGGAGCAATTCCAGTGACTGGAGGCCACAGCTTATCCCTAGCCTGAAAAATCTCCATGTAATCCAAGTAGCATGTGGTGGATATCATTCTTTAGCCCTGACTGGTAAGTTATTATTACCTGCAAATTCTGTTGCTTTCCTGCCACTAATAGAATGCAATTTTGGCTATTCTCCTAGCTAAATTCAAAACTGTATTATACTGTTGAAACAAGCATTTGCAACCAAGGTCCCGACGAACATTCATACAGAAGTGAAAAATAAAGAAATTTGCATTTTAAAATATTATCTAAGTGAGTTGTTGACCATACCTAATGCCAGTTTTGCACCATGCAATGATGACCTTCAATCAGATACCATGTCTGATAATGAGTCAAGTTTCTTTTGGAACTGCAACAAACAGTATAAGGCAATAATAGTTAGAGAGATTTTTTCACTCATAAATTGCATTTATAGAAGAAAGTATGGTGGTTATTGTAGCACACAACTAACGTCTTGCTTCTTTGGCTGTATTCAGATGAAGGTGTCGTTCTCTCATGGGGACATGGTGGACACGGCCAACTTGGGCATCCAACCCTTCAGAATCATAGAGTCCCACTAGCTATCAAAGCTTTGTCTGAAGAACGAATTGTCTATATAGCCTGTGGAGGTTCGACTTCTGCTGCAATATCAGGTGAAAGCTTTATTGATGTGCTGGGATTCTTGAGATGTTTTTAGTCATCTCTTGTAGTTTTGCTAACTAAATATGGTATAAAGGGGAATCTTGGTTTTAAATAAAATGGAAAAAATATCTCGTGTCAAAGGTCAGTAGAAAATGCTGAAGTTTGCTGTACAAAGATTCCTTCTCTGTGCCATGTTTTAGCTTGTTTTTCCTTAATCTTGTTCTACATCATGCAAGCAGCTAAATTTCCTTGCTCTAAGCAACTAACCCGAGTTTACTTTTGTTTAATTGTCTGGACAGAGAAAGGTGACTTGTACATGTGGGGAAATGCAAGAGATTGCCAGTTAGGTGTCCCTGGTTTGCCAGAAATTCAGCCGCTACCGGTTAAAGTTAATTTTCTCACAGACGGTGATGAGGATTTGGGCCCTCATCGTGTCATTTCTGTTGCAATAGGAGCCTCGCATGCCATGTGTTTAGTCTCCAGGCAACAAAATGAGAAATAATGCTTCTGTGTTTCCAGTTTGTAAAGGAGCTCGAGTTTGGACATTCTAACCTGTGAGTTCATTCTGGTTCATGTTCTACTGGTTAGAGCCTTCTGACCCAGTTGTTGGAAATTGGAGAGTCTTGATCAGCAAAGTTCAGCATCAGCAAGAAACAATAAAAGTCCTGCTCTGATAAACAAGAAAAGGCCATGTGCGTGGATTAGGTCCGGCTGAGCACAAGCATGTCTTAATTTCGTAAATTTGAGTACTGAAATATTTTTTGAATACTGTGACACGAAGGATGAGACTGTGTACTCATAGTTGCTGATCTCGAATTTGTAGATGCTCTGCTGCTGTAGTTAAAGAGTTGAGCTGACCAAAATTTTGTAGTTTCTGGGTCTTACTATAACTTTGCTCAGGAAACCTGATTTCAGTTGCTGCTCAATAACCGAGCAAATGTTTTATGCTTCTCTTTCTAGTCACTGAATTATTACGCGTTATCATTTCTTTCAAGCCTTCGAGGCGGTGTAATGTGGTTTCAAAGGGGAAATTTTGAGCTCCATTTCTAAGCAGAACAATCATCGTTTGCGCTAAAAAGTTTCTCTGAACTGCACTTTTACTGTCGCCAGAAACTGCACTTTTACTGCCAACATTTTTTCTCTCGTCTTGCTTGGTGTTCATCCAGCGTAGCTTAGCTGAATCTGTGAAGTGCAGAAGCTGATCGCAAGTCGACCAACCTGAAAGCTGTGAAAATCTTGCCGATGACATGACGGCCAAATTCTATTGCCATTTGGGCTGCAAAGACTTTTTTTTTTCTGGGAAAGGAGAAAAGCTCGAAAAAGGAAAGGGGAAGAGATAAGATAAGGGAGGGACGAACAGTGGGAAGCAGGCATCTTGGCTCATTCCTCGTCGTCTCCCGCCGCCTTCTCCATCGACAAGCCCAGGAGAAGGGTTTTTGTGTTTCTTGATCCACTCCCGCAAGGATTCACGGCCTCTCAGGTATTCTTTTCCTCATCTCCCTCAAGTTCTTCGCTGGTTCTTGTTTAGTATATCTCCCTCCAGAGATTCCTCTTTTTTTTTTCTTGTGATGATAATGGTTTCTCCTGAAGATTGGTTCTTCGTTCCTCTGGCCTAATCTTTAAACCGATTATGAGAAATCCTTTTGAGTTGGGAAATTCTTGGGGACGGATTAGTATTACAACGGAAAAGATTTGATTGTTTTAGCAGTATTCGTCCATGTATGAAGAATGGAGGATATTGTAATTCGCAAATTTCATAAGCAATTTTCGTGGTAGCGCCTATGATCAATCTGTAATTTACTTGCTTGAGGCCCTGGGGGTTTTTTATTTGGATGATTGGTGATTGATGTTGTTTAGCACTCCAAGTATGACATGCCTCCCTTTTTTACTGGGTAATCACGATGCTTTTACTAATTCTGTGAAGCATATCAAATTGTTGTGTGAATATGCTGTTGCTCTTTCTCATTATCTGACACTTAATAAGATAAGACAGTTGTGTTCCTTCTACTGTTATGCTGCAGCTTATGCTCTCATTTGCACGCACTAGCTTTGGGGGTCAGACTGCACATCTGCCTAAGTCTAAAAGTTCAGGATATAAACATTTTGTGTCCATCTCCAGTGGTCTCCCATGCTTCCTCGCCATCAGGCGGCAATCTCCTGGCTATAGTTCAGTTCACACAGCTTCCTTCAGTTCACAACACAATCAATTGAGCACGGATAGGTCAGGTTAGTACAAGTTCAACCAAGTCTTCAGATCGATTCATTCAAGTTGGCTAGGTGACAGAATTGTTGTTGGTGGTTAGCAGAAATATGGTCTTATCATCTAGGCGCATTCGTAATTCATTGCCCCTCCTGTTCCATGTGCTGACTGAGTAATCCATTCTGTGTTTTAGGTACTGTTATGGCAGAAAGGGAGCTAATCGACAAGGATAAACTTATACTTAGAGGTTTGCAGTTCCATGGTTTCCATGGAGTGAAACAAGAAGAGAAGACTCTGGGCCAAAAGTTTGTTGTGGATGTTGATGCGTGGATGGATTTGAGTGCTGCTGGGGAAACTGACAGCATATCTGATACAGTTAGCTACACAGATATTTACAGGTAAATAAATTATCGATGAGTAGAATTAAGGGACTTCTATTGATTTTATTGCAATATTTGTTAACAGATTTCTGCCTTCCTGGCTCGTTAAGTTATACTAGAAATGTCTTGATTGATTACTTTTTAAGATATGAAACTTGCTTATCCATTTCGGCAACGTAGGATTGTTAAGTTCATTGTCTGCTATTTGCTTATTCTTACCAGTTCCAACCATTGGAGAACTGAAGTATGTTCAATTGTTCATGCTCTATAGGATTGCCAAGGATGTTGTTGAAGGCCCATCGCGGAACCTTTTGGAGGCAGTAGCTCATCGCATCGCGAGTGCCACATTGCTGAAATTCCCTCAAATCTCAGCCGTCAGAGTGAAAGTTGGGAAACCTCATGTTGCGGTACAAGGAATCGTCGATTATTTAGGCGTTGAGATATTGAGGTACAGAAAAGACGTAGGAGGCGATCGTCAGGAGCTTCATTGAGCCTGCTTTGTGCTGAGGATGGCGTTACCTTACTACTCAACAATGCATTTTTTGCAGCCGTTTGTACCTCAATAATTTCAATGGAATGTTGACCTCATGAGCTGTTCCCTTAAAAAGGGGTGAAGTTTTATATTGGGGTTGAAGTAGGTACCATGTTGTGTTGCTTGTCCAAAACTTTGGCAAACTTTGCTTACAGTGACTTAAAATTGTCAGGTTAAACTCTCTCTTTTTTTTGGATATTTTGCATCATTTCACCTTCATGCTCTGGAGCATGTCCTATGATATACCCTTTTTTTCATTTATTGTGTGGCATCCAAATTATGTCCTTAGCAAATTGGAGCTGTCACATGGGCCCCACACTTAGGTTGTTGTCTTGTTGATGAACATATCGGAGCAAAGCAAGACTTTTCATGTGGATTCGAGGTACATACACAGGTTCAACCAGCCAATGCTATCCAAACACCAACAAAATCTTCAGAGGAAAGGGCCATGTGATGCAGACCGGTTAGGTGATCCTTAACTTTCCAGTGTTTAAGACGCTCTCAACAATGACAGGTTGTCACTCTTACTAGTAGCCTTTCAGTTCCTTGCTTTGCCTCTACTCCTAAACCTTCTTTAATTCTTTCCCTCGTTTCTGTACTCTCCTGATGAAATCCTCTCTGAAAACCGGTATAACCTCGCTATTTGTTTCTTGTCTGACATTTTGGGCAGTTACCTATTCTCTTTGCATTTCTCAAGAGCAGTTGCAGGAGAGGAGTCTTCTTCTTCACTGAGGCAAGTTCTTGGCCGGAGACAAGAATGCCACCAGTGAATAGCGACGGAGCAGGACCAAGCTCCGGCGAGGATGGCTCTGCAGCCGCCGTGAAGAAGCGCAACAGGCCTAAGTGTAATCTCTCTCTCTCTCTCTTTCTCTCTCCCCAGATAATTGAATTTATGTTTCTTTCTGCTGCCACTTGAATTTTTATGGTAACCACAACCGCTTTGGTTCGAGAAGTATACTCCTTCACCTGCTTCGGATCTTTAACTGTTCTATCGGGTGTTCATTTCAGCACTGTATAGTATATGCAGCAACACTTGCAATTATCTTTGTTTTGGAATGGCTTCCGGAGTTTGGGGATAAATTTATAGTACATGAAATTTACTTCTGATGAAACAAGTGCTTATTTGCATCCACTCTTTCTGATTTTGAAGACCATCGGTTTACGCAGCAAGAACTTCAAGCATGCAAGCCTATACTGATACCCCAGACTGTAAGTTCAGTTGTTTGCTACAATCTCACTGTTCAACATTTTTTTCTCGGTATGAATATGGCTGGGAAGTTTAACATGTGATGACTGTCTGCATAATTTTGAATAATTTACAGGTTATTCTTGTACTAGTGTTTGTGGGCCTAATTTTCATTCCAATTGGTCTTGCTTGCATTGCAGCCTCAAATAAGGTAAGGTTGAATTGTGCTTGCTATTATTATTCAAATTGGTAAATGAATGCTTTTTCTTCCATCTTATGTTTGGATTTCTTCAAATAGGTCGTTGAATTGGTTGATCGTTACGATACAAAATGCGTGCCACGGAACATGCTTCGCAACAAAGTTGCTTTTATCCAAAACTCATCAATAGATAAGACTTGCACAAGAGTCTTCAAGGTAAAACTGTTTCCTTTGAGTACACAGTGAAAACAACACATTTTGTGTCTTTCATCGATAAGGTAAAACAACGACTTTTTTCCCTGCAGGTCCCTAAAGATATGAAGAAGCCGATTTACATATATTATCAACTTGACAAGTTCTACCAGAACCACAGAAGGTAGAAATCTGGCTAATAATTTTATTGACCAATTCATACAAAAGTAAAACCTATCTGTCTGAGTTGAATCACTCTGATTGGGAACGCAGGTATGTGAAGAGCCTCAACGATATGCAGCTGAGAAATCCGAAGAAGGTGGCCGACACGCAATACTGCAGCCCTGAAGCTACTGCGAATGGCAGACCTATTGTTCCTTGTGGTCTCATAGCTTGGAGCCTGTTCAACGACACATACAGCTTCACTCGTGGTCATGGCAACGAGACATTGAGAGTGAACAAGGATGGCATTTCGTGGAAGAGTGAAAGGAATCGCAGATTTGGCAAGAACGTGTATCCTAAAAACTTTCAGAATGGGACTTTGATTGGTGGAGGGCAGTTAAATCCAAGCAAACCTGTAAGTGTTTTGGTAACTTGCGACTGAAATGTCATGCGTCCATTCTCTACGGTTCGTCGTAAATAGCCATTTTCAAAGCAAAATAGTTGTTCAGTTTTGAGTTTCAGAACTATTTTCAGGAATATACAGTGTAAGATTGTCTAACTTTCCAAGGCACATTGCCAAGAACAGTTAACAAGATTGAGTTGAAATTTATATCGAAGTAATACTTGCTACATGCTAACCTCTGTGTCTGCAAATTCAACAGCTGAGTGAGCAGGAAGATCTGATCGTCTGGATGAGAATAGCAGCACTGCCAACATTCAGAAAGCTGTACGGGAGAATCGACATGGATCTGCAGGCCGGTGACCGTGTAGAGGTGACGATGCAGAACAACTACAACTCGTACAGCTTCAACGGCAAGAAGTCGCTGGTGCTGTCCACCGCCGGGTGGCTCGGAGGGAAGAACGCCTTCCTCGGCCGCGCCTACGCCATCGTCGGCTTGGCCTGCTTCCTGCTGGCACTGCTGCTCGCATTGCTCTACTTCGTCTTCCCCATGTCAGTATCTGCAACTGCAGAATTAAACCCTCAGTTCTTCATCCCCTTCATGAAATGTTCATGGATTCTTATATTGGTATGATGAGATTGCGAGATGATAGATGCAGTAGTGCTGACGTTCTTGTGTTAATGTGTTGGTTTTCAGGAGAGAGGAGCATCTGTCGCTGCACTACACTCCTGCTCGACTTGTACGATGATTGAGCAGTTGGGCATGGAATGTTATGGATCTTTTTGGACCATGGATTTTGGGAATCATTTCTTAGTTGTTCTGTATATATACGATAAATGTTAGACAGGCTATACTACTACTATGTGTACATATGTGTTATCTGTAAGGCTGTAATTGAACTTGCTTGTGATGTACTAGTTCAAACTTCAAACATGTTCTTTTAGGAATACATGATTCAGACATGGTTGCTGAAAGAATTTTTTAATACAGTGAGTGCTGTGCAAAGTGCAAATTTGGGAGTTCCAGGTGCCCCATTTGTTAAAGACACCACATGAAGATGATTGTTAAGTGGAAGTATAGAACTGAAACTTTCATTGCTGAAGTTGATATGCATAGAGATAAAGACAACCACAACTAGAGCAAAACTGAAAGTTCACTTTTTTATACCTTTTCCTATGATAAGTACTCCATCTGTCTCATAAAAAACCCAACCTGATATTAGATGTGACATATTCTATTACTATTAATTTAAACATATGTTTCTTCGAATTTATTGTATTAGAATATGTCACTCTTTTCTGTGGGATAAATGGAGTATACATCTACCAAGTGCAAAGATTATACTATCTGGGGTTGCTGAGAAAGCAGGGGCATTTTTGTAACTTGGCATTGCCGTGTGCCGCCAAACCAAATGCACACCTCACTGGCACTGAGCGCACTTCACTAGGCGAGAAAGAGATTATCACTGTTGTTTTTTTCGTTTTCTTGCTTGCGGCAAGCAAAGCAAAGCTAAGCTAAGCCAGCCGAACAATGGAGAAGGCCGCTGGATTCCTCTCCTCCCTCCTCGGCGGCGGCGAGGAGGTGCCGCCAGAGCCGGCGGCGACGGTGAGGTCGATCCTGATATACCCCATCAAGTCATGCAGGGGAATCTCCGTGCCCCAGGCCCCAATCACCTCCACTGGTACCTGTCGCTCATCCTCTCCAAAGATTAAGAATCTTTCTTCTGAATTAGCTAGAAGTGGTTTGTGATGGATGGTTGCGGCGTCAATCGATCGGCAGGGTTCCGGTGGGATCGGCAGTGGGTGGTGGTGAACTCCAAGGGGAGGGCCTACACGCAGAGGGTGGAGCCCAAGCTCGCGCTGGTGGAGGTGGAGATGCCGCCGGAGGCATTCGCCGAGGAGTGGCGGCCGACCGCCGATTCCTACTTGGGTATTCTTGCCTTCTCCCTCTATTATCTCATCATTTACTACCACTTCTGTATATGCCATCTGTTGATTAATTTCAGTTAAACAATCTGAAGAATGTTTAGCCAATGCTGTTTTCCCTTCATCTGTGTTAATAACGTTTGAATTGCTCTAGATAATTAGTCGCCTACCGAATGTTAGTTTTATCTTGACATGTAGCTGAATGCTAATAGTTGATCCGTAAGTAGGACTGGACAAATGTTGATTTTGCCCCCTCATTAAAAAAAAAGTAGAACCTGTATGGGCCTTCTGAATTTTACATCACCGCACACGCAGGATAGCTTCACTGTCAATCTGTCATGCCATTTAAATTACCATTTTATTGAGCTACCCTGCGATACTAAATTGCAGTTGGAAGAGCACCTGGAATGGACCCATTGAAGATCCCTCTCAGTGCTGAACAAGCCATAATTAATGATGTCTCTGTATGGGAGTGGTCTGGTTCTGCTTATGATGAAGGAGCTGAGGCGGCCGAGTGGTTTTCCAGTTACTTCGGGAACCCAAGTCGTCTAGTGCGTTTCAAAGAAGGTTTATATCTTAGTAGTACTAGTACTGTTTTTCCTGTCTTGGAACCTTTCTGATTTCCAGAGTACGGATTTCCTTTCTCTGTTGTTTATTGAGAATGTCTGTTTTGTGGATTTCTTGGCAGGGTCGGAAATCAGACCAACTAATCCTGACTATGCTCAAGGCTACAAAATTATGTTTACAGATTGCTTCCCGTTTCTGATGGCCTCCCAGGTACATATCAGACTGCTCAGTAGTTTCTGCTGATAGATGTCCTGAGCAAGTGCTGCTCAACATAAAAGTTCAGTTGACAGTTCATGTTGAATTGCAGGGTTCATTGGATGCACTAAATGAGGTTCTGAAAGAACCTGTACCGATGAACCGCTTCAGGCCAAAGTAAGCCCGCACATCTGTGCGCTTTTATTTTATGGACAACTTACTGTTCGGTCATTAAATTATGACCGTTAGTTTGACAATTGTTGCACTTGCTTTCTTACAAAGTGATATCTTTTGGCAGCATTTTGGTGGATGGATGCCACCCATACTCAGAGGATCTATGGAAAACCATAAAAATAAACAAGTTAACATTTCAGGGTGTCAAGTTATGCAACCGCTGCAAGGTAAATATGACCCTGTTTTTTCAAATTATCAACCCATACTCTCTTAACCTTGAATAAAACTGTCTGAGAGGATACTTGGATACTTGATAACTGATGGTTCTGCCGGTTAATATTATTACTTGTACTAAATCTTTTGTGTGATCTGTTAAATCATAACTCTCTGAGTATATATAACCATTCTGCATGGATTTTTGAATCTTCCATACTCTCTTCATTTCTATCAGATACATAGAATGGTCACCAACTTAGTTTTGGCATGTGGCCTTTGTTTAGTTGAGATATAACTTTGAATCATGGAAGTGATTCTACAATGGGATGGGTGCCATGGGTAGTTTTCATTAAATGAAGAAGCCTGAGGTTATATACTTGTATGTGAAATGGAGTCTGACTTAAATTTCACATCACCATATTTTTTTGGTGTTATCTGTACATTTTACTTTGGTAATCCAATATACATGTACCGCTTGCTTAGTTTCTCTGTTACACTGATTCAGGTGCCTACCATTAACCAAGAAAATGGGATACTTGGCACTGAACCAACAGAAACTCTACTGACATTCCGGTCCGATGAAGTTCTACGTCCAAGCCACAAAAACAAACGGCAGGTAATCAATTCCTGCAACCTACTCTACTCTTGGAGTCCTGAATTATGCAATTACTAAATGCAAATGTGCTGAATCTGCAATTTCAAGTTGCTCATGAACCAGGTTCAGAACATATAGGTCACTGAGAACTCCCTGTTTTCTCGCCTTCTGCAGGTCTACTTTGGGCAAAATTTAGTCTGCAAGGAATCTCTGTCTGCAAAGGGCAAAGGAAGGATCATCAAGGTCAGCGATCCGGTTTATGTTCTTGAGAGATTCCCTTCTTCCGATGAAGCTCCAGCATGAGCAAAGGACATACTGGCAGCTGTTCAGAGACCTAGTAGTACTGTAGAATGCTGAATTTCTCGGCATCATTGTAAATTTTATGCTGCAACAAGGCTTGAGAAAATGTGTTTTATTATGTGGCAGAATAAACAGTACCATCTGGCACTGAAAACTGTTGCTCATACAATTGATATTCAGTGATCATAGTTATTCCTAATATAGCAAATTGCATATTACATAACCTTATTCAGAACAATACAAAACAAATAAGAAGTGACAAAGGAAAAGTTAGAAGACCCCTCTAAATAGGATCGATTGAGCCCTTTTACTCTAATAGAAAATCAGTGATCAACTGCAATAAACTCCCTTAGCAACATCATAACGGCCTGTACCTCTGAAGCCTAAAACTTTCAGAGAATGTAGAGAATCACAAGAACAGTCAGTTTCATATGCCCATCCCATGCTGGAGGAAGTATTCACTTTGTGCACAGTAAAGTTCAGATTTTACTACAGTAGCTTACACTAAAGTTGCATAATTCCAAGAATCCTGGACACGTGTCGTAAAATTTCACATACTCCTATATACTAGTACTACAAATCATAGAGATAGGGGTCAGTATTGTAATTTCAAGAACCAATCCGACTAATAAAATGCAAAAATTGGACATGATTTTAAAAAATCGTGGTGCCACTGCATGGCAGGAGGCTTGGCATCATCAGCAAGCCATTAGCCATGGATAAGGCAGGCGGCAGCGGCGAGGCGCCGCCGGAGCCGGAGCCGGCGGCGGCGGCGACGGTGAAGTCAATCGTCGTGTACCCCATCAAATCATGCAGGGGCATCTCCGTGCCCCAGGCCGCCATCACCTCCACCGGTGCTTCTCTGCTCTGCTTACTCCCCTTTCTTGAAATTTGGGAATTTTCCTCGATTTATTTGATGATGAGCTTGGATGGGCAGGGTTGAGGTGGGATCGACCGTGGCTGGTGATGAACTCCGCAGGGAGAGCCTTCACCCAGCGAGTGGAGCCCAAGCTCGCGCTGATTGAGGTGGAGATGCCGCAAGAGGCGTTCACTGAGTGGCAGCCAACGCCTGATTCTCACATGGGTATTTCCCAATTTCATCATCTGTTTACAATCCATGTATGTTGTACCTCTATGTAGTATGTACAATTATAATGTGAACTTGATTGATTTGTTAACATGGAATACAATTGATTAATTGCTATAGGATTGTGTGAAAAAAAAATGGGTTGCATACTGCATTGATGTGAAAAGGGGAGGTTGTAAAGTGCAGTGGTGCTACTTTGATTTATCTTTTGTGTCAGCATGATAGGTTGACTGCCAATCAATAAGATTTACTAATTCTATTTCTTCTTCTTTTTTTTTTTGCTTTCTTTGCTAAAATAAGCCAGTTACCTCTGCAGAAGTTTTCTTGGTTCTAAAATGTTCTTGGCAGGATGCTCAATCACACAATGTCATGCCATTTTTCTTTCATGTTCGAGTGGGTGTGCTAAGGATATCATTTTTATCTGAGGCATTGCTAATTGCAGTTATCAGAGCACCCGGATTGGATCCACTGAAGATCCCTCTTGGCGCGAAACGTGCCACAGTTGATGATGTCTCTATCTGGGAGTGGTCTGGTTCTGCGTATGATGAAGGAGATGAGGCGGCCGAATGGTTTTCCAGTTACTTTGGGAAGCCGACTCGACTCGTACGGTTTAATGAAGGTATACATTTCAAGAAATTAGGCAGACCAATCCTGACTATGCTCAAGGTTACAAAGTTCTATTTTGACTTAAAAAGGATCTGCTTTGCTTATGAAATATATATCTCTTTGTGATATTTTCAACAGCATCAGAAATTAGAGAGACCAATCCTGACTATGCTCAAGGTTACAAAGTTCTGTTTGCTGACGACTTCCCATTCCTGCTGGCCTCCCAGGTATGATTAAGCTGTTCTGTGGTTTCTGGAGAAAGGCCTTCTATGCTGTACAAAAGTTCTTTTTTTCTTCTAAACACAATACTGTAACTAGTTGACACTTGACAGTTCATATCAAACTATAGGGCTCAGTGGATGCACTAAACAGTATCCTTAAAGAACCTGTACCAATGAATCGCTTCAGACCAAAGTATGGCCATTTTTTCACAGCTTATTTCTTGGATTGTTTTGCTATATACCTACTTGCATAAATCTACCTGTCATTCTGTAATAATGCCTTTCTTTGCAAATGCTTTCTTTTGGCCAGTATTATAGTTGATGGATGTCATCCATACTCGGAGGATCTGTGGAAGACCATAAAGATAGGGAAACTGACATTTTTAGGTGTCAAGTTATGTGATCGTTGCAAGGTAAAACTGTCAGCTCTAGTGTTGTGCACTTTGGTGGCTTTAAAGTACTGGTTCCTGTCTGGAAGCAGCATGATGGAAGATTGGAAAAAAAATGAGTTGTTCTGCCTCTTAGAATATTTCAGTTGTTCTCTGTATGATCTATTAACGACTATACTGTCAGTTAATTTATGTAATTGATATTTCAGTTGTTCTCTGCATGAGCATAAAGTGTGTAGTTTGCTTTTTCATAGACTCCAGATCTGCCATGTTTAACTTTGCAATGAAGTTAGCACCGACAAACTAAGGGATGATTCTGGAGTCATTCAGACAACAGTTATTTATAAAAAAAAATTATGTAAAATTGCTAGAGAGTTAAACCATCAGAGTTTGTCTGTATGCTTTGCACTTCTTGAACTGCCAAGCTAGACAGCTAGTGTAGCTATACTCTTGCCTTAGTTTTTGTGTACTCTACTTCAGGTGCCTACTATTAATCAAGATAATGGGATTCCTGGTGAGGAACCAACGGAAGCTCTACAAGCACTCCGGTCTGATGAAGTGTTGCGGCCGAGCCACAAAAATAAACGCCGGGTAATTGTCATTAAACTGTCACGGATTTATCCTAGGGAGACTTGAGACTATGAGAAGCTGAGAGTAGTTTAAGTACATAAGAACTGACCATATTCATCGCCTTCTGTTTCTGTAGGTCTATTTTGGGCAAAATTTAGTCTGCAAGGAATCTCTGTCGGCAAAAGATGAAGGAAGGATCATCAAGGTCGGCGATCCAGTTTATGTTCTTGAGTCATTCCCTTCTTCAGATGAAGTTCCAGCATGAGCAAGGAGGGCACAGTGGCAACCGTTCAGAGGTTAGTAATAGGTCGATTTATGCGCGCATGGATGTAAATCTTACGCTGCAGATAAGGCTTGAGAAAGTGTGCTATGTGCCAGAATAAACATTACCATCTGGCACTGAAAAATGTTGCCCATACAGTCGATGGTTTTTCAGTGATCACTGTTGTGCAGTTACCTGTACTTTCATCAGATGTTACCTCGATTGCCTTTATGATAATTTACTAAGATGGCAAATTACATAACCTTATTCAGAACAATACAAAACAATAAGAAGTGCCCAAAAAGAAAAGTTAGAAGAATCTCTCTAAATAGGATTGATTGAGCCCTTTTACTCTATACAAAATCAGTGATCAACTGCAATAAACACCCTTAGCAACATCAGAACAAAGTACCTCTGAAGCCTGAAACTTTCAGAGGTTCCTGTCCAACATCCAAAACCCCGCATTTCTTGGTGTGATCTGATCACATCGTACTGTAATGGCAGCCACCATAACCTGTAAACAAAATCAAATTACAGAAAAGAAAAGGTCACATTAGTTACAGGCTGTTAACTAGATAATTGCTGCACCATTTGGTCACTGAAAGTCTGAACTCTGAACAATCTGAAGAAGTTCATTTTGTACTGGATTGCGTGAAGAAGAAGAAGAAGAAGAAGAAGCTTACTTGGATCCTTGGTGATGAGCATGGCGGTGCCGCCAAAGTCGCAGGTGGCGCCGTTGGACTTGGCGCGCTGCCAGTAGCTGTTGAAGGCGTAGGAGGCGTGGGCGATCATGGTGTCCGGCCGGAAGCACGGCCCCGACGGCTGGATGGAGTCGCAGTCGGCGCCGGAGCCGCACGCGTAGTCCATCGCCGGCTGGATTATCCCCTCCGGCACCGACGGCTTCGCCACGCACCACACCGCGCGCCTCCCCGGCGGCCCCCGCGACGCGTACGGCGGCGGGAACACCACCGGCGGCAGGTACCCGCCACCACCGCCGGGCGGGCCCGGCGGTGGCTCCGGCGCGTACTCCGGCGGGCTCGGTGTGATCCCCGGTGGATACGGCGCGTACACCGGCGGCTCCGGCGCGTACTCCGGTGGGCTTGGCACGTATGACGGCGGCTGCGGCGCGTACTGCGGTGGGCTTGGCACGTATGACGGCGGCTCCGGCGAGTACTCCGGTGGACTCGGGAAGATCCCCGGTGGATACGGCGCGTACACCGGTGGTTCTGGCGCGTACTCCGGTGGGCTAGGTTCATAGCTAGGTGGGCTAGGCTCATAGCTTGGCGGGCTGGGGACGATGTCAGGTGGGCTTGGATATGGGGTGATCTCAGGTGGGCTAGGTGTGACTTCCGGCGGGCTTGGATATGGGGTGATCTTTGGTGGGCTAGGTACAACTTCAGGTGGGCTTGGATACGGCGTGATCTCTGGCGGGCTAGGTGTGATTTCGGGTGGGCTTGGATAAGGTGTGATTTCTGGCGGGCCTGGTGTGACTTCCGGTGGGCTTGGATAAGGTGTGATTTCTGGCGGGCTGGGTGTGACTTCCGGTGGGCTTGGGTAGATTATGGGTGGCATCGGTGTAACGATCGGTGGACTAGGTGCGATTTCAGGTGGGCTTGGCACAATTTCGGGTGGACTTGGATATGGCGTGATCTCTGGTGGGCTAGGAACAATCTCAGGTGGACTAGGATATGGCGTGATTTCTGGTGGGCTAGGAACAATCTCAGGCGGGCTTGGATACGGGTTGATCTCCGGTGGGCCAGGAACAACTTCAGGTGGACTTGGATATGGCGTGATCTCCGGCGGGCTAGGAACGATTTCAGGTGGACTTGGGTACGGTGTGATCTCTGGTGGGCTAGGAACAATTTCAGGTGGGCTTGGATACGGTGCAATTTCCGGTGGACTAGGTGTGACTTCCGGTGGACTCGGGTAGACTACAGGTGGCAATGGTGTAACAGACGGTGGCGGGCTTGGGCTTATATCCGGCGGTGGAGGGTAGTAGAGTGGCGGCGGTGGAGGAGAACTGTATGTGAATGTTGGTGCCGGAATGATCGGAGGGAGGAGGCAGCTGGGTGACATCGGAGGAGGAGGGGGAGGAGGGTTCGGCGGTGAGAATGCGTCGCCGTAGGGTGGAAGGATCGGTGTGCTGTAGTATGGATCAGACGACGACGAGTGGTAGTAGTAGTGATCGAGTAGTAGCTCATCTGGCCTTAACACTCTTGCTCCTGTTCAACCAACAAATCATTTGATTGTCAGCTTATAGGGGTCAAACGAATTTGATGCTTGAGAAAAAAACCTGTCAAAGAAGAAAACAATTTGTGGCACTAGACTAGCTTACTGAAGGATATATATTCTTTTGACGGTCAGAGTATCTGAACACGACGTAGTTAAGCCTTGGTTGTGCTTAACAATGAACATGATCCAAATTTAAATCACCACAAAATACAGACAAGAATTGGGATGCAAGAAGCATGGGGAATTAGGAGCATACCACATTGTGAGAAGGAAGCGAATGCAACGAAGATGGAGAAGAAATGCAACGGACGCAGGTAGCTGCTGCCCTCCTCCATGGCAGGATACATGAACAAGCTTTGGCAAATGGCAAGAGGATTTCAGTGGCAGCAGCAGCTGCAGCAGCAAGGTGTGAGGTTGTTGTTATAGCTGCCATTGCAAACCAGGGTAAATTAAAGTGGGGCCAGCTAAAAGCTACACACACTAAACAGGAGAATCCAGTGCGCCAAAGAGTGAAGCGTCAGTGATCAAAGAAGAGTGAGGAGTCGAGCGAGCTTTTGTTTAGTTTGTAAAAGCGCATGCATGGAAATGATTGGATTCCGGTGATTTTGATGTTTTGGATTCGCCTATCCTTTTCTCCTTTTGCAGTTTAGGCACATATGCTTGCTTGCTGCCCAGATAAACGGAGACGCTATTGCCCTCTTTGGCCCTTTATTTTCTTTATTTCCTTCTCTTTTCATGACATTTGCTTGGGACACACTCAAAGATTAGATTAGACCTCCAGCATTTGGGGCCTACACGCTATTCAAAAATATGTAACCATGTTTATCAACACAGGTATGCTTTAACATTCTTGTGAATGGCATAATAACACTATAGGTGGGCTTTAAAATTCTTCTGAAAGGCATAAGTTAACCGGCAAGATTGAAGTAGAGGATAATCAGATCAGTACCACTGCAGCACAGAGATTTCCCAATGTGACATTGTTTAGCATCAATACCAATAAATTATTATTAGTAGGCGCTCATGTGCCATCAAATTAATGAATACACATCATGCCTCTGAAACTGATTCTGCTAATTCATGATGAGATTTCCAGAGTTGACAACAAATCACATTTTCTTCAGGCGACAATGGGAAAATGGGTTCTAGACTAACATCTTCACTCGGGTGGAAAGATACATTCAAAGCTTTCCAAGTCAGAACAACATATTCCTTTGACTGCACACAGTACCTCCAGTCACTAGCTAAACAAATGGAGAACAGGAATCGGGGAATCACCGACTGTAGGCGCTACTCCTATGCTCGCCCAGATAGGCGAATATGTCAGTGAATTGCATAGGGGCAATTTACGAGACATGTGTTCAATTTGTTTTACAGGGCCATGCGTCCAGCAAGCCGACTTTCTGATATTCTTCGATCAATTGCTGCATCAACTGAGTTCATCTGTTCACACATTGTGGGAGAAGAGAGACGGTGTTAGATATGATTGGCATGATTAAGAACAAAAAAAAAAAGCAGTTAATCTCTTCTCTTTGAACATAAGTACCAGGCTCACGGGCCAAAATGAAAGCTGACCTGGAACCAAATTCTTGGCACAATCTCGACCAAAATTAAGTTACAATAAATGTTACGGTATTGGCAGAAGCTCAGCCACCTAGTTCTTGTTACAAACCCATATTTGCATGTGGTGAATCGTAATCAATAAAATAATGATGCTCAATTGAAATCAATACATACATATTTGTGAACTGTCCAGGGCTTGGCCGATAACCCTCAAGTCAATTAGCACCATGAGATTTGTCAGATTGTAAAAAACTTACTAGCAGGTAGAACAATGTAAATACCTACTTGGAACTCCTGACGTGCACGACATCAGCAAGAAATCACCAAGGATATGCCATGAAAATGCAAGGTAGAATATAATAGGAAACATCTCAGTGTGCAACTACCAGTGGAAAATATTTCCTATTCCCACACACATTAGATAACTTGATATCTAATGTTCAGGAAAAGCCTAAAATTGACAAACTTAACATCCCACTTATCAAAGTTCACAATTAAGTATGTTCTTAGTGAAGTATCCCTAACATTCAGCACATACACGACTGGATTTGTGCCTTCTACCTAATGAGAATAACATAGTGAAGTATCAAAGATGCGCAAGATTCCTTTTTTAGTTGATCAGCAGCACGCAAAGTACAGATTTTGAAGGTGGAAAGCATATGATGGATTTGTCATCACTAGACAAGAGATGCCAGAAAACATAGGGAAATAGCGAAGGACTGGATATAAACTCTCAATATGATTTATTTAGAGAAAGATGGTTGAAGGTAGAGAATCGTCTTAACTCCCATATCACGCTAATGGGCTCAGAAGAATTACTTATAATACCAAATACTGAGGTTACAAATTGCAGCGTGTCAAATTTCTCTACATGTGTCGACATGAACTTGACACATCATGCTGGTGCAAAAGCAAGCTGATATGCTGTATTTACTCTTTATGCACAAGCAATCAAAGCACAGTGAATGGTCTTCAAATGTTATTGAATGCAATACTAAGGTAATACAGGACCAATTGTAACAGAAACAAAATGAAATTTCTGACGCACAAACTAAAGGGATGGAAACCCAATTTTAGAACACAAGGCGTATCATGCAATTCATAAGTGCCTAAAATTTTTACTTTACTCTATACCCTAGAATGAACACTTACACAATATTCCAGTTCAGAGCATCCCCATGAACTTCAACTTGGTTTTTTTCACATATCATTAATATTACAGATATAAAATTATAAAAATCAGAACTTACCTGGCTAGTTTCATCATGCACCTGATACTTGGGTAGCGACAATCTTCTTTCCTCCTACACAAGTCAACAAATATTTGAGATAACCCTCAAACTCATATCTAGTAATGTAACATATATACCAAATGATCTCTAATGAGAATAACAACTAAAGAGAGGATGGAAAATATACCATTGACATTGCTTCATCATCCCACACCAGATAGACTTCATTTGCACCAGGTTGGGTGGCTGGTGCTTTATTATTAGAAGCGGGTGGAGGTACAGCCGCTGGACCTCCTGTACCTGGAACAGATGCATGCACAAGGAATTGATAAAGGAACAAAAGAACAAACATAAAGGACATACATAACAAAAGAATAAGCATAAACGACATCATCTATAAATGCCATATCAACCACTGTTGAGTTTTATATATTTTATATATATATAATAAGGGCAACATACAGTGCATTCTCCTGAATTAAGTATTTCTTTTCAATATCAGAGCAAATGCTGTTGGTATTCCTCTTAATAGGAAACAGGATCATAATAACATGACTTGATTTGTCTAAATCCTCTTAAATTTCCTCTACAGAAATTGCCATCACAAATAATAAAAATCTAGAGTCTCAATTTGCTTATATAGAAGGGTCATAAGTTGAAAGGAAAATCAGCTCTTACCTTGGTTAGTAGCTGCATATCCTACTCCTGCAGGAGCAACTGATGGAGAGCTTGTTGGGATGCTTCCAGGTGCAACAGATGCTACATATGGAGAACTTACTGCACCGTTTCCAGCAGATGTACTGACAGGAAAGAGAGGTTGTGACACCTGAGGGGTAACAGGTGAAGGTACTCCAACATGGGCCATAGGGAACGAAGTCTGAAGTAAATTTGCAGGTGCTGATGTCATAGGAGCAGGCATGTTTTGAATTGGAAATAGTGGCTGTTGTGGTGCAAGCCCAGAAGCCATTTGAGGAACCGAAACTACTGGTTGTGTAAACCAAGGTTGCGGAGGTGGAGCAGGCCAGATTGGAGGTCTGGCCATCAATGGATTCAGTGCAGGGTTATACCTACAAACAAATGTGAAAATTATTTTAAAAAATGTTACAAAACAAGTATACAGAATATGAGCCTGCAATCATTGGATGAGTATGAACATTTCGAGTATACTGAAGAAAAAGAGATAACATACATAGGTGGAGCTACACCATAGGCCGGTCGTGGAGGATATACCATGCCCGCTGGATTGGGCATAACAGGAGGCCTTAGCGATGGCACTTCCACTTTGGCTACCTTCGATGAAGGGTCTTCCTCTGCATTTAGAACATGAACTAAATAAAGTTAACAAGTTCTTATAGGAAAATATATGGCTGGTTAAACTCACTGGAATATTTAATTCCTACACATGAATAATTTATCTGCAAATATGAAATTTCTCTCTTGCTTAGATTTGTCATGCTGTTTGGACGACAGGACTATAATTTCTACCACAATCTGTCACCACCAAGATGCCAACCCAACGAGTGGCACGAAAATGAATAGCTCTGCATTAAATCTTTTCAGCTAAATCACCGTAGACACTTAACTATAGCCTAGTCTCAACAAATAAATAAATAAAAACTTGCATGTGTGTCGCCGTGTTTAATAGCAGTACCTTCTCCATAGTGGGCGGCCAACACATCTGGAGGAATCCCTTGCATCCCAAAGATCTCAATCTCTGTTGATTCCCTCTCAGGCTTTGCATTGGGAACCCTGTGGTCAAAATAGTTATATACATACATGTAAGCAACAACATGGTAGAACATTAAAACCGCAAATACGCAAACACGGCAGTTGTATCATTTATTTCCCACTCAGATATTGCTAGCTGAGGGGAATAACTAGACAAGGTTTGACGGCCTAGAGGAAGTAAAGTGAATGCATCGAACGATAGCATCTTACAAAAAGGAAAAACGTTTATTTCCCACTCAGATATTGCTAGCTGAGGGGAATAACTAGACAAGGTTTGACGGCCTAGAGGAAGTAAAGTGAATGCATCGAACGATAGCATCTTACAAAAAGGAAAAACTCAAGCAACCTATCTTATCTCAAAAGAAAAAAAGAAATAAATTGCAATATAAAATCTAGCTTATGGTCCGGATGATCCAGCCCAAATTCTCAACCCCAAATTCGGCGATTCAGAAACGCGCAGCATGTATTCGATCTACTGCGGCACTAGAACAAATCGATCTAATCAATCGCGAAAAGCGTCATAATTGGGAGAGAACAGCAGTACGCCATCCAAAAATCTAGCTGGCCGAATCCGGGCTACGGGATTGAACCGGATGCAGATCGAGGGGATGGGGAGGAAAGTGGGGGGGGGGGGGACGTACTTGGTGACGGACTCCTTGTGGACCTGGAGGACGTGGATGGCCATGCCGCCGGCGGTGGAGAGCTTCTTGTGGCAGACGTGGCACTTGAAGTGCTTGGCCTTCTGGTGCTGCACGAGGATCTTCTCGTCGTCGAACTCGCGGTCGCAGTAGTAGCAGAACACCTTCTCCACGCGCTTCTTCTTCTTCCCCATCACGCGCGGTTCCCCCTCGTCCCCCTCCCCCTCCTCTCTCGCGGGCGATCGACGATTCTAGGGTTAGGGTTTCGGCGAGGCGAGGCGAGGCGAGGGCACGAGCGCGGCGGGGGGAAGACGAAGACGAAGGCGAGGCGGCTCTCTCCTTTGGTGTCGGATCGGGAGGCTGGCGTGTGGGGTTCAATGGATTTTTGTGTCCAGCCCCCTCGAATTTGTGGGGTTTTCTATCTTTCCCCTTCGCCGGACGTGCTGGAGTTGGTTGGGCCTCCAGTTCGTGTAACATATGGGCCTCAACTTGGGCCTGGTCATGTAATACATGGGCCTAGGCGTTGAAACGGTCAAGCACATCGAACAGGTCAGGTCAGTCAACGAGCGCGGAGATCCATGCACGCATGCGCTAGTAGGTACGTTCCCCTTTTTTTTTCGATTTATCAAGTGAAAGGAGTAGTTGCCAAAGCGGCCAACTTGGACAGAAAAAATAATTCCCACAAGACAACAAGCAGTCAAGTTGTGATATACTGTATTTGCCACATGACATCTTGGGTTGTTTAGTTTGATGTCATTTTAAACCATATATTTTTTATAAAGTTGATAAAAATGTGCGTTCATTTAATTTTTTAATCAAACTTTGATAAATTCATAATAAATCCTATCAAAACTTAGCAATATTGTTAAATTGTCAAAATTTTAACATTACCAAAATTTGATAAGTCTTTTTTTTGGCTGTAATATGAACAGCCACCTCATCCCGATCAGTGTACTACTTAAATCTTCGTTCTGATGGATCGATGAAATGTGGTAGTAGTGTGGTAGGCGTAGAAGAAAATGGGGTAGGTGTGTAGAAGGAGCGATTGTGCCAGCGATGACGATGCTTCCGGCGACGGCGGCGGCGCTGCTGGTGCTGGTGCTGCAGCTGATGTGGTCGGCGGAAGCGCAGGTGGCGGTGGGCTCAGGGCCGCCGGCGGGCTGCCCGGACAGGTGCGGCAACGTGAGCGTGCCGTTCCCGTTTGGCATCCGCGACGGGTGCTCCCTCGAGGGATTCGGCCTCACCTGCAACACCACGAGCAATCCCCCGCGCCTGATGATCGGCAACAGCACACTGCAAGTCGTCAACATCTCGCTGGCCAACTCCACGCTGCGCGCCGTCGACATCGACGGCGCCGTGAACATCACCTACGGGCAGATCGACGGCAACGGCACGTGGGTCGGCGTCGTCGCGAGCCCGTACATCGTGAACGAGACCCTGAACCAGCTCCTCGTCACGGGGTGCAACATCCAGGTAACCCTTGTCGGCAGCGGCGGGAACGTCATCTCCGGCTGCTCTTCCTTCTGCTCCATCAACGACATGTACACGGGTGGCGTGTTCAGAAGCCCAGGCAACAAGTGCGCGGGCATCGGTTGCTGCCAGCAGCAGGTCTCCATCGGCCGCCCCTCCTACCGCGTGGAATTGACGAACCTGGACAGGGATCGTGAGTTCAGCGGTAGGGTGCCCGAAGCGGTGCGCATCGCCGAGCTGGGCTGGTTCGACGGCCTCGCCGCCGACCTGCTCAACGTGTCGTTGGCGGACACCTCGCGCCGGAACCCGGTTCCGGTGGTGCTGGATTGGGCGGTGGCGTCCACCGGCCTGGATGTCACGCTCAACGCCGGGCTGAACAAACAGGCTGCCAATAACTGGTCCTGCCCCACGGCCGCCTCGGGCAGGAAGAGCGCGTGCATAAGCAGCAACAGCTTCTGCCGCAACATCGCCGACAACTACCGAAGCGGTTACGTCTGCCGTTGTGACAAGGGGTACGACGGGAACCCGTACGTCGCCGGCGGATGCCAAGACATCAACGAGTGCGAGCGGGCGAAGGAGAACGGCTGCTTCGGCGAGTGCACCAACACGCCGGGAGCCTTCTTGTGCAGGTGCCCGCACGGTGCCCGTGGTAACGCCACCATTCCAAATGGCTGCACCAAATCCAATCTAGGTAGCTAAATTAAATCTGCTCGCCATTTTCGAATTTATTCAGAGATTATTGTATATATAGCTACCTCCTCCGTCTTACAATATATCTACCAAGCTTTAGCTATAGAGGTGACTAGTGACTGTTCTCTCTTCCAAACAAAGATGCAAACTCTGTTCTTCTAATCTACAGGTTAAATGTCATTAACTCTAATGAGAACTTCATTTTCCTATTGTGCTCCTAGGTTTAACAATTGGAGTTGGAATTGGTAGTGGTGCCGGCCTTTTTATCCTGGCACTTGGTGCTGTCTTTTTAACACGTAGGATTAAACAACGGAGAGCAAGAACACTGAGACAGAAGTTCTTCAAACAGAACCGTGGCCATTTGTTGCAACAATTGGTATCTCAAAAGGCCGACATTGCGGAAAGAATGATCATCCCCTTGGCAGAACTAGAAAAGGCCACAAACAACTTTGACGAATCGCGTGAGCTTGGAGGAGGAGGACATGGCACCGTATACAAAGGTATTCTCTCAAACCTTCATGTTGTCGCAATCAAGAAATCAAATGTGACAGTCCAAAGGGAGATTGATGAGTTCATAAACGAGGTAGCCATTCTATCATAAATCAACCACCGTAATGTGGTGAAACTTTTTGGATGTTGTCTTGAGACCGAAGTGCCATTGTTGGTTTATGAATTCATATCAAATGGTACACTTTATCATCATCTTCATGTTGAAGGACCAACATCGTTGCCATGGGAAGATAGGCTCAGAATTGCTACTGAAACAGCTAGATCCCTCACTTACCTTCACTCTGCCGTGTCATTTCCTATAATCCATAGGGATATCAAGTCCCATAATATCCTATTGGATGGCTCACTAACAGCAAAAGTCTCAGACTTTGGAGCTTCAAGGTGCATCCCAACTGAACAAAATGGGGTTACAACTGCTATTCAAGGAACACTAGGATACCTAGACCCCATATATTACTACACAGGACGTCTCACAGATAAGAGTGATATTTATAGCTTCGGCGTTGTTTTAATGGAGTTGCTTACTAGGAAAAAACCATATTCATACAGATCGGCTGAGGATGAGAGCCTTGTTGCACATTTCAGTACCCTACATGCACAGGGCAACTTGGGTGACATACTTGATGCGCAGGTTATAGAGGAGGGAACAAAGGAAGTTAATGATGTAGCCACATTAGCTGTGGCATGTGCCAAGTTGAAAGCAGAAGAGCGACCGACTATGAGACAGGTGGAAATGACACTCGAGAGCATTCGGCAAGAAGTACTGCATAGTGTGAGCACAAAGAAATCTAAGGAGCTTCACGTCTCATGGAACCATGCAATAAGTGAGGGTACAAACTTGGAGACAACTAGGCAATATAGTCTTGAAGAAGAGTACTTGTTATCATCGAGGTACCCCCGGTAGCAGTTTTTCCATTTTTCTTGTGTGAGTTTGGATCAATATAGAAGGCTCGTGTTGTCCCCAATGTACAAGGTCTCCATGGGTTTTTTTTTATTTATCCATGTATGATATGCATGTAGTATTTCATAGCTAAATGTAACATCTTATTTTTATTGTTCTTCATCTGAATGTGTATTTTTTTCTGTTTGATTTCATCCAAGTAAAGGTCAAGATATCCTTTGTATTGTATTCAGTTATGATACTGAACTAACTATGTTTTCGGGCTACTAAACATCATCTGCTTAATACTCGCTATGTTTCACTTTATAAATCATTTTGATTTTTTTTACTAGTCAAACTTATTTAAGTTGACCAATTTTATAGTAAAGTTTAGTAACATTTACAACGCCAAATTACGCCAAATTACTTTCGCTAAAACTAATATTTAATGTATTTTGATAATACATTTGTTTTGTGTTGAAAATATTGCTATATATTTCTATAAATTTAATTAAAATTAAAAAAAGTTAACTTAAAAAAAATTAAAATGACAGGGAGTATCTTCTACCAAGCTGTCGACACTTCAATTGTAATAGTTAGCGATGTTGGTTCCAGCGATAACTTGTGCGACGGCGCTGTGATCGGCAGAAACAGATTTCCGGGGACGCAATGCCGGCAGTGATGATCGGTAGAAACGGTCAACCATCCAGTCCAGTCCGCACCTACCTGATCGATCGGTCAACGCGGATACAACAACGCAGCATATGCGTGTTCGTCTTTTAAGTAATTATTAATTTTTTTCTATCATTTAATTTATTATTAAATATATTACTACTCAAGTTTTTAATAATATTTATATTATAAAAGTTTTTGAATAAAACGAACGGTCAAACATATATAAAAAAGTCAATGATATTAAATATTTAGAGACGGAGGGAGTACATTACAGTACAGTCCACCCAAATTGGTGCTATTGATCATGAGTTGAGTGTTCAATCTGACAGTGGGCCGTTGTTTTCAACTCCGAACCTCGATCATTGACACGATGATTTTCAGTTAGGATCGATCCTGCATTCCTGCTTTTTTTTTTCCTTCTGAAACGCCAATCCTGCATTCCTGCCGAGGTGAGCTACCCATGCAACACTGCAACGTGATCTGAGGCTCTGAGTTGCACAACGGTCCGCACGAGATCCCGAGGGGTTCGGAGTTTTCTTCTCCGAACCACCTCGCCACGTCCGCCGACTCATATGCCACGCCTCTGCCTCGCCCCGCATCCTGGCGGCTCCTCCGTGCTTCCGCCCTTCGTCTCTGGCGGTCGCACGCGCGCTGCCGCTGCCACCTCCTCGATCTCTGGCGTACGGCAAGAAGCACCTTGGCTAGTATGGCACTGCCCACTCGATGAGCTCACATCGTGTATCTGTGTCCTTTCGCGCAAGGGACGGAGCTAGAACAAAATATAAAGAGGTTCCACTCACCAAGCCGACGGGCATGGGGCCAGCGGCCGCGGAGCCAACAGGTGCAGAGCCAGCGGGTGGCGCAGGGCCGGCACGGAGCTGACGGAAGCGGAGCGAGCGGTCGTCGAGCCGACGGGTGTGGTGCCGGCACAAGGTCAGTGGGCGTCGACGGCGCGGGTCTTGAGGAGGAGGCTTGACGGAGACGCCTCGCCCTCCCCTCCTTCACCTCCTTTCCTCCTCCGGCCAGGCGAAGGACGATGGCTACGATGGATGAGGACTTCGCGCGCGCAGTGGAGGACGGCCTCAAGCTGTCCAAGCGCCTCGTCCTCCCCGGCAGAGCGCCCCCGCCCGCCCCGTCGAGGGGATGGACCGGGCGTCGGGGG